ACGCTGCCGCCAAATGACCTCAGTCTGCCTCTGTGCTCCCATCGCGTGACTTACCACTTTTACCCTGTGAACCTCAGCAAAGGCTATGAAGCCAACGGTGATTATTGGTGAAATTGAGTTTGGCTGCTCAGGTCGAAGGCTGTAACGGCGCTGCAGACAAAGAATAAAGACATTTGCATTTGACTCTTGGATGAGGTTTTTCATTTATTTTTACTGGTCAAATATTTCACACAGCACGTGAGGTAAATGTCAAATGTGCAAGTTACTGTACATGTAGTGTTCACGATAAAGTGCACTTGTAGAATACACTGTATGTGCAGATGGTCAGTTAGAAGAAAGGACTACGTGAGGATGTCAAGGCGCTGGACTGAATCCTCTTTTTTCCAACACCACAATGTCATCGCTGTTCTAAGCCTACAGTTTAGCTCTCGGTGTATCTGCTGACCAGAAAGCAGTTTCAGTCACAAATATTCTTTTAATCTCCTTAGTCTAAAAGCTATCTTTTCTCTTCTGGTGTGCCTGAAGAGTTTAAAGTCGGCTAGTGATAGATGGGGAAGGATTTATCTAGAATGTTCTGCTCATGGGACCAACAAAAACCCAAAACTCTAATCTGTTGTGATTGAAAGCTTTTCCAAATGTGCATGAATGGTGGGGACTTAAAATGTGCGTATATAAGCCCTTCCTTTGTCACTTCAGGGATGAATAATTTGAACATTTTAGACAGGGATATATTGAATATAGATGTCTACTTAGTTGATTAATCAGGACTTATTATGGTGTGAAATTCTATATCAAGACTGAACTCAGTGTGAACGTAATTTCCACCCATTTTCTCCTGCATATTCCCAAAAACACCCTAACCTGGGGAAGAACACCTTTTTTTAATTGGAGTGAAGAGTGATCTTCGTTTTACTTTCAATTGATTTACTTCTGGCTGTCTTTCATACTGTACTGTGATGAAAGTCAAATCCCATTTCAAACAAACATCTATTTTGACACCAAAAAACACAGGGATATTCTTGGAGGCTAAATTAGATTGTGACGAGGATGAGAGGGCGGGTGGCACTTTAGAAATGGCATTCCCTTTGAATTGATGCTTCAGAATATTATTTGAACTTGGCTCATGGAAGTTCACTGGAAGATGCAACAAAAGAACAAAATGTCTTAGATCATGGATGACTGGTTGACTGCCTGCGCACGAAACCCCCTAATAACTCTCAGACGACTGTACGACTTCACTGGAACTAAATCAGTCTATTATTCTACGCTTGCATTAGAAACGTTCTAATACAACCGTTAAGGGGCTTCAGTGCCACATGTGGCAAATTTGCTGTTTGGATACAAATCAAGCGGGGGATTATTTGCAGGGGAAGAGGGAATTTCAGCTAACAGCCAGGATGACACATAGTGATGAGGTCATTCTAAAGCGCATGACTCACGGGTCACGGGTGCAGGATGACTGATTCTCAGATGCACCTTCACGAGATGTCTCTGGGAGAGCACATCTCCTCAAACTGCTGGGTTCACACTGATGAGCACGCAAAGCATTGCTATTTGTATTCCTCCTAAGGCTATCTGTCAAAGTTACTGTGTTTTTTTTTTCTTTCTCTCCCTTGTGCACTTCCAGGGGCTGGTGATTGAATTGCAATGCTGCGTTAATTAGCTCATTTGTTTAATGCAGTTGCCGTTGAGAGGGGAGAAAAATCTCCTAACTCGTGCCTCAAAATGTCCATGGGATCTTTGAGCAGTTGCTCCAACTTTCCAAGGTCACCTTTGAAATCCCGGTGTAATGAATGCATTTGGCTGTGAAGGACTGATGTTCAGTACTGCACCACATGATATTTGGATTAGCATAAAATTACAATGCTGCCTCTTCCCAACGCGTCGGACCGGTGATCATCGCAGCAGTTTATTACAGCCAGCTGACATTAGTATGGCAACACATGCAGTGCAAAACTGCTACAAGGCCATTTGTTGTTGTAAGAAGGGCCCATTTGTTAAAATTGTGACTTTTATGAGAATCTTAAATGTCATTGGTTAGATGACTAAACAGGTCCTTCAATGACAACAACCTGAGTTGGATGTAGACTGTTTGCACAAGCGTACTACGCAAACTCTTTGATATTACGAGGGCAATTAAAATGATGAAATTCATTTTGTGATCAGTATATAATTTCTTTCCATCCAGGTGGCAGACAGGTGCAACTATGTTTTCGTGAACGGCAAAGAGACCAAGGGCAAGGTGAAGTTGGTGGTGAACTTCACCTACAGCTACCTGAGCGCTCAGCTCGAACTGAACGTGTGGATGCCCCGACTCCCTCTCCAGATTGAGGTGTCAGACACCGAACTCAGCCAGATCAAAAGCTGGAGGGTACCCATACTAACCTCCAAAAGGTGGGACACAAAAATAAACCACTTGTTTATCATCATCTCTTTATTTGGATTTTAGATGGGATTTAGAGGCGTCCTTGAGCCCTTACAAATTCAAATCGTATCTTTCCCCAAAAGGGTTTAGGGATTTGATTCCATTACATAACGTGCTGCAATATCTCAATGTGATCTAATCAAACAAAGAGTCCGGCTTGAGTGATTGGACTACAGCAGGTCAAAGCATTTGCCATGTGACAGGTGTGACTTGCACGCGTGTTTTTGTTGTCATGTCCTAGACCTGGCTGGAACAGTGAAGAGGACAGGAAGGGAAAGGGCTGCATGCTTCAGTTTCAGCACGCCCTGGTGCGGGTGCTCACTCACTTTGAGGCAGAGCCGGCGGACCCCCGGGATCCTAAGGCTTATTTCCTGGGCTCCGATTGGCAGGTGGACGTCACAAGGCTGGTTCGATACTTCATGAAGGTGGAGGACCCTCGGGTGGCGAGGCTGCAGGCAGGAAGGGTGCTGTCAGGACGAGACCTTGGGACCACCAACATCCAGGTACTGCGCTGAACAACATCTTGGATTTATCTTCGCTTGAACAGAATGTTCGCCATGAAAACAAGCAGCTAGACCCTGGGCGAGATTGGGTTGTTTCCTTCTGATTTACTTTGAAGCTCATGAACTAAAACTTGTCCTGCCAAAGAAATACAGGCGGAGGCACCCACATTGATGTACTGCTTCTGGTGTTTGTCACAGGTGTTTTCTCCACTGTCCGACGCAATCTTGGCTAAGACAACCATCAAAGTCGTGGATGATAAAGTGACTATCACAGGTTTGGGGGTCCAGCTGGTCACAGGCCTGTCCATGACTTTACAACTCAGTACCGGAAGTGATAGGGCCATCCTGGCTACCACAAGCACTCAAGAGATTTTACAGACCCCAAAACAGGTAATAATCTGCATCCATTTAAATGTCTAAAAGATGAGCAAAAGGCACAATTACAATCTCTGCTGTTTTCTCTTCTTTCAGGAAGCTCTGGTCAGCACGTGGGTTCAATTCAGCGACGGCAACCAGACTCCTCTTGACATTTATGACCCTGCTTTCTATAGAGTGGCGGTGACGTCTCTGGATCCGGGGGTGGTGTCAGTGCAGGGCGCTCTTCCCACCGTGGTTGCAGAGGGTGAGGGCGAGGGAGCCCTGGTCAGAGTGGAGATGTCCATCTGCGAGTCATGCCAGAAGTCCAAACGCAAAAGCACAGTTGCCGTGGGCAACGGCAGCCTGAAGGTCAAGTTTCAAGTGAACAGTCGGCGCTCGAACGCCAATTACAGCAGCACTGTTAGCATCAAGGACAAGGGCGGTGACTATGGAAACGGTGAAGAGTTGGGCAGCGAGAGGAAGGAGAGGGAGCCGCCCAACGATCCTCCGCCGCGCAGCTCAATCTCAGATAGAGAGGAGAGTGCCATGCAGAAGATCACAACCACAATCAAATCAACCGAACGAACTTTCATCAGCAGCGGCAGCCTCGGAGGAGTGGGGAAGACCAGCAAGTCAGAAAACCAAGGTAGTCCTACCAGCTTGGTGAATATGATGAACAGCCCGAGCGACAGCAGCAAGGCGTACGGCTCAGACAACGCGATAGTGGAGGATAAGAGCAGTGCGAGCTTTACCGTAAAGGCCCCCGGCAACCTTGTGAACTATAACTTCCCCAATAAGGCGGCGGTACCTGGGCAGGAGACAGAGGAGGTGGAAACTGGCGGTGAAGAAATGTTGGCCAACAGGCCGCTCACAGACTTGGAGATTGGCATGTACGCTCTGCTGGGCGTCTTCTGCCTGGCCATCTTGGTTTTCCTGATTAATTGTATCTCATATGTAGTCAAGTTCAGACACAAGAAGCCTCCCTCTCAAGGCCAGGAGCCCACGGGGCACAGGCATGACTGGGTGTGGCTCGGCACAGACGCTGAGCTGGTGATGAGCGTGCCGGGGAGTCCTGTTCAGCAAGACTCCCAGACTACAACCACCGTCATAGACATTGGGACCGATAAAACGTCCTCACTGCCCAGAAGGCCCAGTTGCCTTGCCTCCGTCACAGACTCACCCATCAGCTGCGTGGGATCCCTCCGGAGCAAACCGATGCACACGGAGTCCCTTCACTCGCCCACTAGCAAAAGAAAGAGAGTCCAGTTCACCACCTTCTCCACTCTGGAGCGCCAACATTTGCCATATCTTCCACCCAGAGAGAACGGCTTCGGCATCCACTGGGTCGGGAAGCAGGACAGTTGTGAGGAGGAGCCCCAAGTGCCCATGCCAGAGGTTGGGGGACAGTCATAATACAGTCATGTACAGTAGATGTGGCTTTGATCACCTCAATGCCTTTGTCAACAATAACCGTCTACAAAAATTTGTGATTTTAAAATTTCCCCACCGTCTACATTTCATAACCTATCAAGGCCTTTTACATGTACATGTACTGTATATTACTATAAATATTTGGAGTATGGATGCGAGATGGTTGAACAGATGAGTTATTTACACAATGTTTAAAGCCACCAATGCAGCATGTGGATAACAACTTCTCAAAATGTATTCTCACTCACATGTTGTTGCACATAGTACAAAAACAGTTAAAAAAGTACCCAAAAAAAGTTTTATTTAATTACACGTTATATATTTCACCGAGAATGTGGCTTTAATCCAACATTCTTCTGACTGAAATGGATCCCTTTTGTTGTAAGTTTGATTTTCTTTTCATTCATTTTTCATTAAAAACACTATTGTCTTGAATTTTTTCTTTTCACTTTTTTTTTTAAGTACTTAAAGAGAGGCATACGATCTCTGATAGGAATATGCATGTAACCTATTGATGTATAAATACTGAAAAGCACTGAGAGAATTTGCAATTTCCCTGAAGCAACCCGTGCACCAGTCTGTTGCCAAAATCAACCTTTGTAACTGCAATTTACAAGAAGCCTTTGTGGGCCTCTGGCATTTAAACCAAATGCTTTTTGCACGGCCCTTTAATGAGTAAAAAAATAATTTGGTAGCACAGACTGGAATGCTTTTAACAAGAGGAGACAAGTCAAGAAAAGTCAAGTCTAACAGCACTTTCAGAACGTTGTTAAGGATAATAATCAGAATTAAAATACATTTTCAGATCAGAAAACTGTTTTAAATGTCTATGGAGCAGCGTTTCTGGCATGTTTTGTCCATTTTAAATGTGAAAAACAACCAGAGAACTAATGTCATTTTATATTCAAACCATAAATAACCGTACTTTCAAATACATCAAATATATTACCAGAGAAACATATCCACCCTGGGTCTTTGGTTTAAAGAGCTCTGCAGCATTATTGAAATCAAATACAAATATTTTGTACAAAGTCTTTGCAGCCTGATTTCTTAAAAAGTAAAATAAATAAACGGGTGTAGCGGCCTGCTCTCTGGCGCAGCAGTTCCAGTGAAAGTCTGAGTGTGTGTTAAACGCTGTGACCGTACGCTAAGAGAAGAGTGTCCACCAGCCGCTGGTAGGTTTCCCGCTCTTGTCCCAGGCTGTGATGCTCCTCGACGTAGAGTTTTCCATTCCTCACCAGCCTCTCGCTCAGCTCGCGATCTGACAACAGCCTCTGAGATTGATGTAGAAATTCCTGGCAGGGGAAAAAGCAAAATGATTCTCCTTTACGCCAAAAGCCACTTAAAGCCTGCCATTGCAGATGCCTGAAGATATGTTATGCTTCTTTTAAGCATGAAAGATCATCCAAGACACAGGAACAGAATTTAGATAAGAGCCTTTGCGCTGATTAGTAAACACTTAAAAGATGTCTGTACGTTGCCAGGGGATGGATATATTTGTGGCTCCAGATTCCCAAACGGCTGTCAAAAAGACCTTTTCAGTCAATCCCGGTAGCTGCTGCCTCAAAAGAAAACAAAGTCACTGATAAAGTTTAACAATACCATCGCACCAGCTGTCGCAGGGACAGGGGAAGGGCAGATGGGGATAAAAATGAGATAATTAAGAAATGAGTAAAGGTGTCATCGCCGAGCGGTGACGGAGATGTGATATATCCACACGGCATGTTGACCCAGCAGACCCTGGAGAAGAGAGCCAATGGGCACACGGGGTTTCAGCCACTGCCAACAAGCAGCCCAACTCACTTTACTTCATTCTAGGGATGTGATTATGTTCGGAGCGGCTACTGGTAGCAAAGGGCTTCTCTGTATGGCCACATGAGAGCTATAAATCCTCAGCAACGGGATTAACGCTCCACTTGTGAACAGCACGCTTATAATCATTTCACTCAGTGCAAATGATGGAGACATGCAGGAAGTGCCATCTTTCTCTTTCACGCTTTCAAGTGAGAGTGTGTTTCATCCTTTTGACAGAGGATTACGGTTTAAAGAACCAAAAACACTTTCAACCAAAATTAAGAAGGGGGGGGGGGCTTCAAAGAATGCAGAAAGGGTCTTGGTAGTGATCGACTGCAGCAAAGGTTTTGGGCTGAAAGAGCAGTGCTGATTGCCGAGGCTCAGGTTTATCTACGAGTTAAATCCAAGTTGCTGCAACTGTGAGAGCTTCCTCGTGGCAGCTGAGCTGAACACACGTGACCCTCCCGGAGAGGATTTATCTCCACCCTGACAACAACATCATCATCATGCAACAGCATGGTATTTTTCACAGCACCTTGCTCGAGCCCTCTATCAATGAGCCTTAAACCATGATATTTTCCTTCTGCATCAAACCTCATTATAGATCACAGAAAAGCTCCCTTGGGGGCTCCCAACTTTGCACTTTCCTGAATGCTGCCATATGTTGCATCACGGATCTTTGCTCCGTCCCTCAAGGCTGCCCTTTTTGATTCTAATCTAAGCACCTGTGGAAACACCTGCTTCTTTTGTTATATTTCATCTGCACCGTTGGACTAATGCCAAGAATTTAAAGTAGAAAGTTTTTTAAATGATGTAAAGTTTTTCCACTTTTAAAAAAGGTAAATCTACGCCTGGAAGGGGACAAATCCAACCTTCCGTCATCCCCAACATTACTTCAATACAGTATTATCCGGAAGCACTTTTGGGGCTGCTTGAGGTGACAGGAGTAGCTATTAGCTGCAGTGTATATGCAGTATATCCACTCTGTAGTCCATCAACTTAGTCAATGTGACAGCTTAATGGGTCTTAACGCATGCAGCCCCCATACCTGAGGAGACGAGTAGAGCAGGCCAGTGGACTCATGGCGCACCACGGCTGCATTTCCTGGGATGTCTCTGGCCAACACAGGCACCCCGAGATCCATGGCCTGTTGGTGCAGAGACATTAAATGCTCAAAAGGTTGGTGGGACTTATTCATGTAATTATTATTATTAAAAATAAAAAACCTAAGCACCTTGGGAGATGTAAAGATCAGCCGAGCTGCTCCTCATTGGCTTCATACTTACGGAATGAACCATCTGTATCGACTAATACATTCAGCAGGTTGTCGAGTGAAACATGCTAACGTTCTAATCAGACGTTACTGTGAACAGTGTTTAAACAAGATTAAGTGGATTTGCAGCTTTTGCTCACTCAGGAACGGGAAGATTGGAATTCATTTGGGGGGTTGTCCCTGAAGTGGTCAGATAACATTGCAGCAGAACAAGAAACCGCGAGATAAGGACGGCTGTAAATATTCAGCCTGTTAAAATCCTTCCCTGCCTGAGCTAGAAATAGATAAAATAGTGTTTAGCAGCAGAGTTACTGAAGTCAGGAAGTAGATTATTGTCCAGCTCCCCTTGGGCCCTTAAGGTGTTTACCTCCAAAATGGCCGCTGACATGCCCTCTGAGACAGAGCTGTTGACCACGGCGAAGCACCTCTTCATGGCGGCATGAAGCTCCCGTTGGCTCCGTGCCCCGGCCAAGAAGACCCCCGCTGTTCTGCAGAAGCGGCAAAGCTCAGTTCAGCGTGACTTAGGGCTAACCGAGGCGTGAGTGATGCTCAGGGGAGGAAACACAGATGCATCTGTGAACTGCACACGGAGTTCAGGTGAATCAAAGAATGTAGCGTCCAACCGCAAAGAGTAATGTTGTGGTGTTGTGGCTCAGGGCAAAAAACTGAAAGATCAGGTAAGACTTAAAAGAGGTCCGATTTTTCACGTCTCCTTCTGTGGTATTTATAACTAAAAAAAAGCATCGAAAGGGAAAACTTACTTTTTAACAACAGCTTCAACTTCAACACTAAACACAGGGTCAATCTAAGAGAAAGAGAGAGAGAGAAACATTACAAAGACGAGCCGAAACCTGCCAGCCATCAACTAATTTCAAGGATGGAATACAAACAATGACAAAGCAAATCATTCCCTGTAAAATCCTGTGTTTTCAGAGATTGGGGTCAGGGCGGGGTGGGTGGCCAATCTGATTAATTGCAGTGTGGGATTTGCGTGCATTAAAATGCCCACAGAAAAGTCCAAACATCGTGATTCGGGTCAAAGATGCTGCCAAGCAGGCTCCTACTTGCTTCTCTTTCGTTTTATAGCTCATGGGAATTCTACATGGAATCGGATTTAAAGCATGTCTGCAATTAAATCTATTTAATCTGGGATTTAACAGCCATTGTACAACCAGCATAGGATAGATCACAATAAAGGTTGTATTACCCAACACAAGTGGTTGCAGTATTCCATTTCTTGCTGACACTGAGCCAGTCAAAAGGGGAAGACAGACTCAATATCAATATTCAAATTATTCCGGTGAATCTGTCTTTTTTCACATCTTGGCAAAAAAGGACACATTCTTCTGATTAGGACACCAATTGAGGCAAAAGCCTGCCAACATCCCCAAATCTAACGTTACAGTTTTCATATAATCTGTAGATTTTAAGAGCTAATATGCTGCTGTGTTGCTTGATAGAGCCCAGTTACAGAGGAGAGACATGTGACATTTTTCCTTTTAACGAGGTGTGCTTATTACTAGAATCTAGTAGCAGTGGATGGATGTTACGTCATAACAGCCTGAGCAAAGCATGTCTCATTCTCCGTTTGTATTTTTAGGACGAGGTTCCTTCATTAAATCTTTTGCATGAGGAAAGAGAAATCTTCGAGGGGAAATTTCTTACACAAAGTGGCTTGTTATAGTAATAACATCTGGCTTTTCATTTCTCAAACAAACATGAATCACACGTCCGCGCCGACACGGAACCATTTCATCAAACAACAGAGCAGACGAGAAGCGAGCGAGAAGCGGCAGTCGGACGACGTGTAAGCCTCTGGCCATGGCTAACCGCGTTGATTTGCAAATCTAAAGCTGAACATACGTGTGGTGTGGACACCACTGTTTGAGAGAACAAACAGATACTAAAATACGGTGTATTGGTGTCGTGTGAAAAGCAAGTCCAGGGGGAGAAAAGACAAAGACAAACATACAGAGAAACAATGAGTGAGAGCCTGGAAATGAAACAGGGAGGAAGAACAGTTGTACGAGCTGATGGTGTTTTTAAGAGATACGATTGCTTTGTTTTCCCAAATCATTTGACCAGCTTGAAATAAAGCCACAGCACCTGTTGACATGGGCATATATGCTCATCCTCAGGTATTAAACACAGATAGCGCATTACAATTCAAAGACAAGTGCTACACTGGTGAAAGCAATGCATCCACGTATCAAGCGGTGGGCTGGTGTCCCTCGACATGTTTGCAGAGGACGGCCTTTTCCTCGCAGCGCATCCTGTTAAGTCCAGCTAAACAGCTAAAGCCAGTATGTCTGCTACATCCAATTAGTGGCCGCTTGAATTCTCATGGAAGGTTTCTATTTTGACAGCGAGGTACGGAGGGAGACACATGGTCGGTATAATGATGTGTACTTACGCGTGGCCCAATCACAACCAACACATTAAGCGGGTTCTCACGATGCCACTCTGAAAGATGAAAAACAAATGTAGATCAAAACTGGTCTGGCTGAAACATCAATGTACAATTTGAGGCCCTATAGTGCTTGAAATTCACATATAACAAAAGATGACAAATAAAAAAGAACCCAGCTGCACACCGAATCTCAAGGTTGAATATATTCGATGCATGTAAGATATATAGCACAGTAACATCCATTTATTATCATCCGCTTATTCAGCATCGGGTCGCGTTCTGACCCTGCTTCCCCTTCCTGGGCAGTGTGATGGTCTGCCAGAACCTCCTTGAGGACAAGTACTTCTCTATGGCCTCCCCCAACTCCTCCCACGCCGGCTGAACCCACTCACCACCAGGTCAGTTATAATCCTTCTTATATTTAACTTTGTATGTGCTTTAAAATGGTGGGCAGTAAAACAGTAGTAATGCTCAGCAAGGTAACACGGGGCATAACGTCCTAGTTGGGCTTCCACGAGCCGTCAGGAGGATCTCGATGCCCTTCCACATGATTGTTTTAATTATCTGAAATGGTAGCACAGGAAAGCAAACAGAGTGGTTTTGCAATTTGGGAGGTTACCTGACATTTAGTTACCACAGCTTCCTGCTGTATTATTTGACTATAACTTTGTCCTAAGTTGTTCATTACCAGCACACGTACTTTCTGAAATACGATGTTTACCTGAAAAAACGTCCACCAGATAGAGGGGGTCCTTGACTCTCCTGAGGCCACAGACCAACAGGAAGACGCGCAGCTCGTCCATGAGCTCGACGCCTAAACCTGCAGAGGAGCCGGCGCAATATTCAAACACTGCATGAGAAACATCCCGGTTACATCGGCAGATAATGAAAGCAATACATCACCCAAGGTCACGGGGAAAATAAGACGGCAGTGACGAATGTACTCGCACAACTCTCTGATCGCAGTTGCAGCGTTCAGCAGGGAACTGGACTGTTGAATACATTGGAAGGTTGCAGCCTAATCGGTGTGTAATACGGCATCCTAACGACAGAGCCAGTGTTTGGGTGACAATTTGCTCACTGAAAAGCCTCAGAATAAAATGTGCTAATCCAACATCACACTGACAAAATACTTTTTTTTTTTAATTTTGTATCTTGCTTTAATTGAGAGAGAGTGTGTGCAAATAAATCGTCCCTTTCCCCGGATCATCCATCCGAACTTAAATCCGGAGATTAGTCAGAAGCTGGCAGGCACACAACCGTGCTCGCTGCCAACCACTACTGTTCTACACCTGACCTCCCAAATCCTGACCCGGACAACGCAGCCCTGCAGTTTGAGGATGACAGCACACACGCTGGAGTGGAAGTCTCTTGACTTAAAAAATAAATAAATAAATAAGCAGAAGAAGGGGGGGGGGGGGGTGTGTGTGTAAAGGCAACACTTAAGGTTGAGTTCTACTTGCTAAACATAGAAGTAGATGGATATTTTAACATTAGAGGGTCATAGAATACATTTTTAATCCCCGATGCTCCTTTCATAAATCCTAAATGGTGACACGGCGTTGAACAAGAATTTAAGGGAAGTACAAAATAAGCCAATAATAAAAATGTATTTTAGAAGTGTCCCTGACAAACAGAGAATCAAACCATTTCCAAAATAACACCAGACAGATACAATCACGTGCTTAGAGCACAGTGACAGCTGATCCCCTGCTGACAGATAAGCACAGATCAGGAGGGTGAAGCAGCTCTTTTAATGCTGTTAAAGCATCTTAAAATGACCGAGTGGCGTCTGGGCAGTGACCCTGATCCTAGGGGCCGATTGTCATGAGAGATCATCATCTGCGGGAAGTATCGAACAGAGATTCACTGGAGGAGAAACAAATGTGTCTCTACCTCGGAGAGGGATCCAGGAGGAGGATGGCTGGAATAATACAGGAGCACAGATATGCCTAAATTAGATATGAAATCGAGAAATAATGATAAGAAATATCCCTTTGGATCCGACGACACAATTCATCTTTCCTCGGGGGGAGAAAGACAAATTTGTTCAAATCATCAGCTGTGCCAGCAGCAGTCTTTTCCCTCTCTCTCTTTCTGTAGTTCTGTGAGCTATAAGCAAAAACATTTTTGTTCGTTTGCCTTTGATTTCAAAAAGGGTATTCTGAACAACCCCCATGTGCTTTAATGTGCACGCATGGATCGCACACATCTATTTGAGCTCCTCCTAATCTGTTTTGTGGCAAAGGTTGATATAGACAACATATATTGCAGGGAAATAATGAGAATACACCTTGTAAAAGATACCTTAACTAACAAAGCTTCACAAATGAGAAACATTAAGCCAATAAAGAGGTTTTTTAAAAGCCAACTGGCAGATTTACAGCAATGTTTCCTTAAAGTGCACCGTCCCGTATCAAATAAACCAATAAATAAATATCAACCATTCTATTGAATTACAGGGAATGTTTAAAAGCGGCTCCAGTTTGCGAGGCGCTTGTCACAAAGCTCACAACAGCTCTAGCGAGCCTCCTTCTCTCCACATCAGCATGTTCAGAAAAACCCAATAATAAAAGGAAAGAAAAACACTTACGTTCAGCCAAAATGACTAAATGAATAAAGCATTCCCTCCAATTATACAAAACGGGGCTTGACTCCACTACGAACTCGTCAATGTAGTTTAATCACCGAGGACAACAAGGCCACTTCTACACAGGATACGCAGCAGCACCAACACCGTCCCCTAATTATGTTGGCACACTAGAAGATGATAGCAGGCGTTAAACTTGACACCTGACCTCGTCCTCTGATTCTTAATTAAACAGAATCAATCACACAGACTTCCCTGGGCGATTTATTTAATAACCAAACAATCCCTTGAGGATCACGCAGCTGGACGAGGCGACAACAGACCCCCCGCTTGTTTACTCTCATCCCACAGTGAATCAAAGCGCCGACTCGCTGATCTAGAGGGGTCCCCTTTTCACAAGCCCCCCCCCTCCCCCTCCCATACAATATATGTTTCACTCAAACCATGACACACCTTCATTCAACTAGCCTACATATAACTTAACAACTGCTTTAGTAACGTTTCCTTTATGTCAGGGCGGAACACAGATGGTGGTCTTCAACGGAGGACAGACATCATTTATTAGACTGTAGAAAGACCACCAAATGAAGACTAAGAATGATCCTTTAAGTATTCAGTTTATGATAACTAAAGTAAATATGCAGAGGGGGGTGGGGGGGGGGGATCAGTTATCATTTTATTTGATAACTTCTGTCTTGTTATATACAAACACTCCAGTGCCTTGTTAAAGCACTGTGGTGATAACACTGACGTTAAAGCCACGCGATCCACAAAAGAATGTACACTATCAGACTCAAAACCCAGACAATGTTTGCAGCACTAAAAGCACCCATGAATCAGATTGCAGTGCTTTTATCACATCGCTGAGGGAAAGCTACAGTGTGACTCATATTTCCAGTAACAAACAGAGAAGTGACGGTAGGAAATTAGTATTACTTGCACTGGTTGTGAAAAATGGACCCGGGTTAGAGCTATTAATCAACTGGTGCTCTCTGCATTCAACGTTGCTATATATGACCACAAATGTTCCCGGGATGGACACGACCTTGCGATTGTTAAAATCCCCCATGTTTGTGGAGCGGACGCTCCGAGTAACGGTGTATATTTACTAAGCCATTCAAATGGGAGTTGGAGGACTGAAGTAGAGAAGGGTGAAGGGAATTCAGCTTCAAACTCTGGCCTCCCTGACAAGCACATTGATGCATTTAAAATAGCACAGAATAAATGTATGCTCTCTGATTGTTACTTCTCAGAAGGGGGATGTATCCATCATGCTCTCAGCGGGGGCTATTACTAATAGTGGAGGAAAGGAGAGGGGGATAAAGTAGAATACGGCAGAGGGCATTTATGTAGAGTGCGGTGCAAACTGGTACGTCTGTGTTGTTGAAACAATCCCAATGACACCTATTTTTCAGGAAGACTGAATTTCAGTGTAGTTACTATTGACTGACTCAGTCTGACCCAAATTGGAAGTTAAAAAGTACAAAATCTTAACTTGAAATACGGTATTCTCTAAGAATGACAAACAATTTCAGAATGTATTATTCAGCCAAGACCAAAAACTATAAAACAATATGACTACAGTCTTACCCTTAGAATAGCTTTCATTGTGAAACATTTTCTATTGAAGGCAAATAATAGAATAAAAATGATGAACTTAACAAACTGTCCAGAATGCAGCCTGTGGATCGTCACGTCTCTAATTAGACAATAGCTGCAGGGAGCAGTAAATAGTACCTGAGCTCCTCAAGAATTCAGTCCAGCAGAATTTCTCACTGACTTCCGTCTGGATGCCTTTAAAATGACACAAACAAGAACAAGGCACAGTCTTCATGTTTGAGCGGAGTACAATTTAAGCATTCATCATGCAAAAGGATAACAATGTGTGCCTTCTAGTTCAAATGTAAATAAGTAAGTCCAGAATTGTCTTTGCGATCTTGAATTTTGTTTTTCTAATATTCCAAAACCGTCATTCATATGAAACATTTTACATGTGGCAACATTTTACTGATCAAATTGGGTGTAAAATTCCCACAGCTGGCCCACTACTCTCTAATCTATGCAGGGACACTACTGGCCAATAAATGCAGCTGCAACATATAGGAGTGATTTGAGTTGTCCTGTATGGCACGTTGGCCAATGGAGAGAGCAAATACAACTTGGTCGAACAGACAGCATGACGATGAAGGGAAAAAAGGTCTATGCTTATTAATTTAAGAATTGAATGACACATAGTGATGCACAAGGAGAGGACATGGCTCCTGCAGCGCTTACCTTGAGGTTGGACATAGATTTTACAGCTCTGGGACAGCTTCAAAGAAGGAAATTGGAAAATTCTGATTAAAAAAAGGTACAAAGACGTAGACAAGGAGAGGACACAAGAGTGTTTGAAATCATTTAGAATATTGTAATGTTTGTTCACATAAATTACGCTTGATTACTACGAACGGTGTCACACAACAGGGAGAGACAATCAATGCTTGTCGTGCTCCAAACGTATTCAAATCCAAACTTTGAAAGAGAGTCAGGAAATCAGTTGCTTGGATAATGGGGTAACTACAAAATAAATCAGAGGGAATGGAAAGACAATTGAGTGGATGCTATCACACTGGATTCATTCCCCGTGTGTTTTCCTTCATAATAAAAAGCGAGGCGATGCCTCTCAGTGTCGGTCTGTCTGCCTGCTGTCAGGACTAAATTGCAGAGATTAAGCACACCACTCTGCTCAATCTCTAATCTGAAAATAAAATACAATGATATTGTTTTATTGCCAAACCATTACAGGCCAGGCAATTGTGTTTGTATATTAAAATCCCTTCTGCTGTGTTTATGGGAGCTGTCAGGATTCTGCTGTAGGCAGATTTGCCGTAAAATGCAAACAAAACACTTTTGCCCTCAATACTTTTTATAGTATTTTTTTTGTAGTAGAGGCCTTCATGTTGAAATACTGCTTATGGCAGTCAGACTGGAGAATTGTGATGCAGGTAGCCATAAGAATATTGAATTAGGTACAAAGACAACAGAGATATTCTGTAGTAAAACTGAACTGAGTAGAACTGGAAACATACACACGTCTCATGGTAGAGCGGCTTGCACATGTAATGCAATGGGTCAGTGCTGAATACATTTGAGCTGCTGCAGTTGGACTGTTAAAATAAAAAATGAAAAAAAAAAAGAATATAATCGTACCAAAAATAACTTTGCCTCTTCTTTCAGTTTGTCTGTAAATGCAACTGCAAACCTAATAGAAAGACAGAAAGAGTTTAATATCACAACTTTGAAAGCCATTTATGTAAAAACAAGAACTACCATTGTTACTATTTTAGGCGTTTCGACAATTTGGTAACAGAAGTAAAAGACAAATGTCTCAAGGCTACGGCTGAACACGTGAGAGCAGAGGAACAGCGAATGAAGGCAAAAGGATTTAAGGATGAATACATCAAGAATACAAAGAGGAAAACAAAGGGAATGTAGAGCAAAGATCAGTGAGGAGATATTAATTTGCGTGCATTATTAAATAGGCCAACGGGCTCAGAGTGGTGACTGAATTTCATGATCAAGGTTTGTGTGAGAAGCCACTAGCAGCGGGAGGTGCGCGGATTCAGATGTTTGAAGTTTTGAGACTTGATTCCCCCCCGTCCTCCCAGAAGGCAATAGTCCCCTTAGATTTACGAGGTGGACGCCCCGGCTTCTACTGCATTTTCATCATAACGAGGACAGAGACGCCGCGGTCTGCTGATTAGGCACAAGGCAGAACATTGATACGCTTGTGTGCACATTTACTTCTCAGTTTTGAACCAGGGGAGAACAGCCGGAGCTGGCCTGCATCTGTTCAGCCTCAGTCTTTAAAGCTTTAACAGGTTTTGGATCTTCATGCATTTTGTAATACCTACATTTCTAGGATGATTTCATTAGCTTCATTTATATAGAGCATGTGAAGAGGAACAGCTTTGTTTTGAGCATGTAAAGCAATGCAGACGTTGTTAATATGAGAAAGACTGACAATCACTTTGCGTAGTGAAATTAAAGTTGGAGTTTTCTTGATTTCATGAGGAGAAGTTTAGTTAGGAGGTTTAAGTGGTTGCATTTACTTCCTGCTTGTACTTCAGGATGGTGACGTCTGCATCGAACTTCAATAAAAGGAAGTAAAACACGTTGTGATGCATTATTTGAATATTTGGTACTAATAGTCAATGAAGTCTATCATTGATATTGATCGAGAGGGTTGTGCAGCCACATTTATATCACATATTCAAAAGACGACAAGTCTCATGTTGTTATGCTTTGCTATGAGTGCTGTAAAACGCTTAGACTACAGTACAAACATGTACTTTATTGTGTGTATTGTTTTTACGCAAAGTGTGATGTTTTTTTTTTAATAAACGTTTTCTTACACATTTTAGAAATGATGTGCATCCGGAGTAAAATGCATGTACCTAGTTTGGAGCTATTTGGACTTTAATAGGTTAAAATAGCGTGCGGCAACATCACCTGGCTTTCAGTAGCACCCGCTCCATAACCACACGTTTCTGCTCAACTTTCACATCTTCATTTATGTCTGTTCCGCCAAAGATAACACCAAAGGGTACTTGGATGTCTGGTGTAAAGGTTAGACATAAAACAGAAATGTCCTGACATTTTTTTTTGGGGTGACACAAAACAGCTTGTAGGTCAAAAGTATGTTAACAAACACAAATAAGATGAGTGAATAGATCTTAGAACGGCGAGGACGTTTACCTAAGAGAAGACTGCCTGCTCTGAACAGATGGATGGCCAGGGCACCTTCAAAAGGAGGATGCCCAGATATTAGATTGGCCACCTCAGCAGAAGATTGAAACGCAGCTGCATCTCTGAGCTCACAGGTGTGTCCTGCTGATTCAATGTGGGACCTGAAACAAAGGGAACATATGAATACGATTGGCTGGTTGGTAGGCGGGATGGTTAAACGACAAATATTAAAACTCACTAATCTAAAAAATCGTTTTACCATCATCCAAAGATTTGTTTGGTGTCTTGCTGTTGTCTAGTCTGTTTTCTACCTACAGCTTCCTCTTCCTGAATCCTGTTAGGTGATAAAACTACTGTGCAGTAAGGTCGGTGGTTGAATCATGTTATAACTGATTAACTACAACCATTGCACAGTTAAGCAGACAGCTGACCTTAGAGAAAGCCCTGGATAAGTTAACTGTACCACAGTTGCCCAATACAGGCCTCACCAGGTAAACGATCATTAGCAACCGCTGCTCAAGCTAGCACTTAGCAACAAGGACAATTACCTTATTCTCTCAGCTGTTGTGTGGTTCCCAGTTTTGGGGCTGAGACAAGCAAGGAAGAGTAATTTCATATCTTCACTAAACGCCGGTCCGAGGAGACAACGAGGTTTAAGTAAGCACATGCACCGTTAAAACCAGGTGGAAAACCGCAGCAAGCAGAGTGTCTCAAGTGTTGTTTCAGTGGGTTCGCTAAACTGAACTCCTGGTACATTTCCTGGACCCATGGTTAGAAGTTACACGTTGAGCAGGGTTACCTCACTGCTTGGCAGTGTCCCGCACGCTTGCAATGTTTACACGTCCGTCTGCTATTCTGTCCCCCTGGAAACACACGGTGGTACCACATATTGTACAGTGACGGTAGGCCCATTCCGGTGTCTTGTTTCGAGACCATCTTTTTTAAACTGAGTAAAAAAAAAGAAGAGAGAATACCAGCCGGAGCACACTGCTGTCTGCTGTCATGTGTGTCAATTGAAGAAAAAAAGAAGAAGAAGAAGAAGAAGAAAAAAATCTCTACCACTTCCTTCTGACGATAGTACGTCTGCGTGACCGGAACAAACTTCCAAACTACACGGATAGGCCGCAGCCGGTCCGCTGTACAAGTCTGCTCGGGTACATATAGTTTGTAGATCGTTTCTCGAGCGACGACAGTGTGACCGTTTGTTGACTGTGAGCTGTGTGTCACGCGACAAACGCGGGTTTATGTTGACTTCCAGTTCTCCTTTGACAAAGTGCTCATTTAAGACGACCCAAGTTAAACGTTTGAGTGGTAAATGTTATCTTTGTTCATGGCGATATTCGAAGACCATTAGGACAAAGTTCGATAAATTAAAAAAGGTAATGTAAAACCCACTTCTTACTAACGTCTCATGTCGCTAAAGCTAGCTTACTTCAAGTTTGTACTTAGTACACATATTATAATTTAAAAGTTAAGTTAGGAAAGGTAAAGCTAACGTAACCGTCTTCTCTATGTTGCCCTCCATGACAACGTTTAACCAGCATCCTCTGTACTTTTTTCTTGACAGGTTTTTAACCTTTTTTTATTTTTCAAACATTGTCAAGAAGATCCCAAACCTTCACAAAGTGGTTCGAGAATGGCCAACAACAGGGATGAAAACGAGAGCACCCCTCTATTGGACTCTGGGAACAGTAGACCTTCACCACCCTCGGTTTTCCAGGGAAGAAGACTGGCTTGTGCCGCCGTCCTGCTGGCTGAATCATTGGAGAGGATCGCATTCTACGGCATCACATCAAACCTGGTCCTTTTCCTCAATGGCAGTCCCTTCTATTGGGAGGGCACTCAGGCGAGCCAGGCGCCGCTGATGTTCATGGGAGTCACCTACCTGATCTCACCTTTTGGAGGCTGGTTGGCGGATGCATACTTGGGCAAATTCTGGACAATCGCTTCAAGTTTGATCCTATACTTTCTCGGCATGCTGTTTTTCCCTTTTATTGCCAACGAAGACACCAGGATACAGCTGTGTGGAGAGGAGATGGCGTTTCCCGTTCAGCCTGCCGAGTGTCTGAGCACAAACAGTACCCCTCCAAGAAATGTAACCTGCCCCATTCGCTCAGCATATTGTGGCCCAGCCATCTACGGTGGACTGGTTTTAATCGCATTGGGCGTGGGCACTGTAAAGTCCAACATCACTCCCTTTGGGGCAGATCAGGTAGAGTATAAAATATGTTCATCTCAGTGCTCAAAGTCTGTTGTAAATAAGGAATGCTGGGCGAGCGGACACGGCAATGCGTTTTCTGACAGGCCTGCATATGCGATGGGGTATGCAGTGTGACATCGTGGAGTTCAGACATGTCATGTGATGGATTTGTTTTTGCATCATGACCGGTCACTTAGACCTGCATGGTTTTCATCACCATGGCCACTTATAAGTGTTTCCATTATAAAGCTGACAGAAAACCAATCCCAAAGTTATCAATGACATCAGGACGAAAACACTTTAAAACAAAACCTTTGGCGTTGATAAGTAGGAAAACACAGAATTTTTTTTGGTGATGAAACAATGTCAGCCCCTCTTGAAATGATAAAGTTCATCAATGGGGTCATTGTTTTTCAAAATAATCCAACCATGAGAGGGTAAAACCTTTCAAAGGGGACTAGCGGGGCAAATATGATTAGTTCTCGAGCCCACTGCAAATTACAAGATTTTCACGAGTCTGTGAAGGCTCCTTTTGATCGTGTTCAAAAAGACACAATACACAACATCAAGCAAAAGCCATACGTTACAGGGAGACGCAAGAGAAAGACATGGCGTGGAATTAAATCAGGATACCGGAGGCAAAATTCGTTATGGCCATTGTCTGCCTTTCCTGTCGTTTCATGAGCCACAGCGAACGTATTGTAGCCTATGGACATATCGATGTTCTGATCATATTGTGTATTTGATGGAGGGTCACCACTGAAACAGGACAGTAAATTAGATTTTGTATTGTCCTGAAATGAAAATAAGCGCGGCGTAACACAACCACTTACACTAATTGATCTTGTGTCAAAACTAAATACAGGAGCCAAACGATGGGACTGCTCTGTTTATGCATTATTTCAGAATGTATTATACGAGGAAAACATATCGGTGGTCAGTTTGTGCATGAAGATTCTTTGCTTAACTGGCACTACAGAACTGCTTAGTTCACTTTGCGCTTTTTTTAGCGATTGCAACTGCCGTTTAAACGCACAAGATTTGGTCCTCCTGGTGAAGTTAATTTTCTAATTTGACTTTAGAGACTTGCATATCAAAGCGCTGATGAATACGCTTTTTTTATTGCTGACCAATTCTGATAGTTGGCAATCAAACCTGAACGATGCACAACTCGAGCAATGTTAGGAGTTCAACAATTTCCCCACAAATTAAATTAAGTTCTCCCCCTGTGTGCTTGGCCAACATACAATTACATGCTCGGTTGTATGCTGTGTCTCCTAGGTCAAAGACAGAGGACCAGAGGCCACGCGCAGATTCTTCAACTGGTTCTACTGGTGCATCAATTTAGGAGCCATCATGTCTCTGGGAGGTGTGGCCTACATACAGCAGAACTTCAACTTTGAGCTGGGCTACATCATTCCCACCGTGTGCCTCGGGATCTCCTTCCTGGTCTTTCTCCTGGGCCGTACGGTCTTCATCACCAAGCCTGCTGACGGCAGCGCCTTCACAGATATGGCCAAGATCCTGACCTTCGCCTGCTGTTCGAAGAAACCAAAGGAGCCTAACCTGCTCCGGTAAGAGCAGCGCGTCCCCTCTATGTGTCAATCACTTTTACAGCATTCGATGTAGGGATGGGAAAGCGATGAAATCATACTAATATTCTGTCTGGCAGTAAAAAGGGGTGAAGTCCTTCCCTCAATGACAAACAGCATGCTCACACTAACTGAGGTGTAGCAAAGCATTCATCAATCTCAATGGGAAGGCTCCTCCCAACAGTGTAGCAAGTGTCTTTGTTCATGGCAAAGTGAGTGGGCTGGTGACTACGCGGGAATATCATAGCTAGGTATTGTTGCTATGCCGTTAGATTAAAGCCTGCTTTGATCCCCCCACCCTCCCCGCCCCCCCAGTATACGTCTTTTGTTTCTACTGGTCTGGGCATTCATCTTCATTCCCTGTGGTGAGGAGTTTTTCTGAAGAGCTGATACTTGACTTTGAACCACAGTAGCTCATTTGGTTAAAAAAGAAAACTTGAACATTTTAAGTTGGCTGATCCCGCAGCCTTTCAAGAATTCCGTAATAAGACATTTTCTCCAGAGATGTGGATTATAGGCTTTAGAGTGCAGTTTTTTTTCCTATCTAGAATCGCTGTACGGGTAAGATCTTCCCCAAGAAAAGAAAAGCTGATTAAGTCTTGCACTTGAATTATCGTAGTGTATTCTCTGTGTATTTTTAATTTTGTATTATAAATTCCTCTCGTTTTCAAATAGTATTTCAAAAGGTATTTTTTCTCTTTTATTTCTTTAAGCAACAAACCGACCCTGCTGGACAGTGCCAAAGTCACCTATGGAGGAAAATATCCAGAAGAGAAAGTAGAGGAAGTGAAATCTGTAGTGAAAATTCTCCCAGTTTTCTTCGCCCTTATCCCATACTGGACCGTGTACTTCCAGGTAATCCACTTTAAATTGAATCCAATATAAGCTTCCTGGATGCAGCTATGCACAAAGCAATGATTTAACACAATGGAAGATTGTTTTCCATTTCAATATATTGGAGACACCCTGGTGGTCCATGAAGTGGAGAATTACCACCTGCTGAGACTCTAATCTCCTTTTTGTTTTTGCAGATGCAGACAACATACGTCCTGCAGAGCCTCCATCTGAGGATCCCCGATAGCGCCTCAAACATCTCTGCTGACTCCCACCAGGTAACCTAAAGTGGTGTAACCTTGGTCCAGGTACCTTTTTTCCTTTTTAAGAAAAGTGGCTTCTGACATGTTAAGCAACTACGGTCTCATTCTAATCAAGTCAAACGAGCCAGTTTGGGTCTCCAGCCTGCCTCGTCATAAGTAGGTTTGAACTAGATTCTTCACTGACAATAGAGTCAGTAGGTCACCGATACGCAACCTGGCTTTGTCCGTCCTTCTCCTCCCTGATGAGTCGCCTCCAGCTGTTTCTTCTTGCGCTGCAGCTGTACGAGTGTCTCCCTCTGACAGATTGCATGTTATGTTCTGGAGCCCTTAGATGACTTAAGTCCCCCCCGGTTACTCCAGACGGCTCTTCTAAAATCTAAAAGTGACGAAATTGGAAAAGTGCCAGAATGTCTTGTATGTACAGTGCACCAGTTCTCCTTTTTGAGGAGGCGTGCTCCGGGGTGACGCTGAAGTGCACTGACTTCATTGAAATGTGAAGTGAAACCCTTTCATTTAAAATCCACCATTATCTAAAGTGCTGAATACATGGAAAATATATTCATCCATTTCGCGATACTATTCCCCGAGGCATTGAAACTGTTTGTTTAGTTCGCTCATATTCCCTCACGTTTATCTGTGTTTAAGAACTATGTTGCCGTTTTACTTATACTATTTATCTAAAATAAAAAAATAAAAAACGGATCCTTTTCTGCTGCTGGCCTCAACACTTCTCAACATCAAAAGGGAAGTGAGATTAGATGCGTCCGTGATGTGCTCCCCCCCCCTCCCCACACCTGACACATTTCTACATTTAGGAATCTGAACAAATGCTATATTTTCAAGGAGAGTCCCAACAAGTAATATTAACTGCGAGGCAGGAGTGAATGGGTTGTAATTGTTTATAATTAAACAAGATCCTCAGATTACGTAATGTGGCCATTTTAAATTTTATATTTTATATATAATCTCGCTCTAGAGAGAGCAAGATATATTGTGTAAGTACAGTACAAATACGTGTAATCCATTGTTGGAAGTAGAGCCCTCACTGCTGGGCCACCTTTGCCATTCCTGGCACACTTTATTTGTTTAAGAAAGGATCCCCCGAAGCACTTTTTGATCATTTTGAATATGGTAATGCACAAACAAAGGAGGAAAACACTCTCCAAGGAGCTGCATTACGGATTGCTAGCGGTTATTTCAAGAAATGTAAATTCAATTTGAGAACAAATGATACTATCAGATGTGTTAAACCACATCAAGACACATCAGGAGCTCAGATGGTCCTTGGAATTTGAATTGCAAAAAAACATCTCTAGCAGTTTGCAGTCTTTCATTGCTCACTCAGTGGGATATTGCCTCAACTTGTGGATCATTTGTATGCTTACAATGGATTCTTTTCTCCGATTGATATGTCATCCTGTCTGTTTGCGATTTATAGTGCTACGTTTGTGCTGAAATCTTATTTTGAGTTCAGTCTTGCACACTTTGTCTAGTGTAGAAAAAGCATACATTAGAAACAGATAAATATCTTTCATTCCCTTGTGCTTAGTTTTGACCACCTGGGGGTGCCAAAGCAATGTCTAACCCCGTGTTCACGCGCACACACAAGAGCACACTCATTTGCACACAAACACATGGTTAACTATGTTGGAACCCACTGACATTCTCTGTAGTCCTCATGCTCTGTTGCTCTTTGAACAGTTTTACTTCATCTCTCTCCCCTGCACCCCCCCCAGATGACGTTCCACTTCCCTGCGGCCTGGCTCACCATGTTTGACGCAGTGCTCATCCTTATGCTGATTCCTCTTAAGGACAAAGTGGTGGACCCCATCCTGAAACGCCGCGGCCTGCTGCCCTCTTCTTTGAAAAGGATCGCAGTGGGAATGTTCTTTGTGATGTGGTCGGCCGTGGCAGCGGGTGAGTGCAAAAGCAGAAATGTTGCTGCCACGCAGTCACAAACGGTGTCACATGAGTATACGAAAGAGCAAACACGGATGAAGCAATGAAAGTTGGCGCTTGCGGTAAATACCACACGCAATCGGGGCTTCCAAATCAACCAACAACGCGGCCTTAGTTTTCATTTTAATGCTATTTTTGTTGCTAAAAGAATATTGATCCTCACGCGTCTTTCAATCTGCTTGAAAAAGTTTGATTCACTGGTGTTTGGCTAATTGATGACCTCTACTCTGTTTATTTTGGCGGAACCTGGCAGATAGTCAGTGAGTCTCAGTTGTATGAATCGTCTCTGAATCAAAACACGCAAAATGGGAAAGACGCTCCCAGCAGAGCCATGCAGAGCACAAGGGGATCTGTGGCATCTTACTCTCTGGTCCTGAGTGACTGCACCCGGGTGCTTAGTCGTATTCACTTTTAGACAGTGGATTATTTTGGAAGTAAAGTCTTAGTCAGGCCTGTCAACGGCTGCTGCGCCATGGATGCATTCAGGCTCAAGTCTTTTGAGAGAAACGTGCCCGAGGGCAGGAAGAGAGGGAAGAAAGCAAATCAGTAACACTCCTGAGAATCAAAGCACATTATATTTCCACAATCACTGCCCTTTTTCTCTCGCACAGTACGGTGGCTTATACGATATTAACTCTTCTGCTATTTCTGACCTTTTTAGATATTGACTGGTGTGCTTCAATTGACTAATAACGCTGCACTGAAGCAGTTTTGACAATTGTTAGGGGGAAAATAAAATTGTATCTTGTTTATGCAATTTAAAAATAAATAATACATTGATAGCTACTCAGATTACATTATTTGCTTCATGCCGTTATTAATATATAACCCTTAAATCACCTATTAGACTGGGTAGCTCATTGTTTCAAATACAAATTTACCAAGTGCTTCTTTAGTCCAAATTGAAGGAACCTTGGATTTTGTTTTCTGCATTAGTGGCCTATGAGGGTACTTTACCACACTGGAGCTGCTAAAGGAGGTTATACTCACTGTGTGTGTCCTGTGTGTAGCACTTTAAATCCACATCTGCACAATAAAGATAGTAATGCTTGCTTTTTTATAGTCATCTAATGGCAGAATGCGCATAAGGTCACATAGTCAACAGATAAATAAGAAAAAGTCACACATTATCTCGCTTTAAAGAAGCATTGTATTTTTCTATATACGATGGAAGCTAACCTTTTGAAAGCTTAAATCCGAGGTCGTCCGTTAGCCGCTTCAAGCCTGATTCAAGCATATTTGTAAAAGGGGAGAATGATCCATAGATGAAAGGGAAGAATAAACCTCTAAACGTCTGTGTGGTGTCTGCCTTTATTATTGAGGGTAAGAGAGAGAGGAAAAGGTGATGGACTAAACTCGTATTTCATATAAACATGGAGAAGAAGAAATGAGAAAGTTTGTTGGGAGAGTCTAAAGATGTTCTAGCAAGTTATTAAAGCCTGACTTAGCCCATCAAAAACAACCTTTTCAATCAAAGGGTTGTGAACCAACTCTAATGTGTTTACCTTCCGGTTTGAAGTTATTTTTTCTTTTCAGGGGACATGAGCACTCCGGGAAGGAAAGGTGCTCCAACATGTACATTTTCTGATGTTCACATGCTATTTAGGCATCTGCTTTTTCCATTTCGATTCGTGAAAGAAAGTGAAGTGAAATTCAGGCTTATTGAATTTGTGAATATGGCGGACAGCTATTTTGAGTCCTTGTAGTGGAGAGAAAGGGTTTATGATGCTGCAGTCGTCTGCCCATTGGTCACAGATCTGTACAGTAGGTGAATGCACAACTAGTAGGCAACACAGTATCGCAGTAAACAGTATTAATTCCATTGTGTCTGCATCTTATTCATAACAGTTATTCATCCAAGAATAATTCCCTGGGCCTTTTATTCCTTGCATTGCCTCCACATTAATTCAGTTGACACACACTGACTCCTGAGAGCTTCCTTGCACTGTGATTACATGTTAAACTGCATTTCTTTCTCAGCGTCCACAGCTTATCTGCATCTGTCCACTGGCTTTTGTGCTTAGAGACTGAGGGATGGAACTCTGTGAATGACCGAGCGCTGTATCATTTGCCTGCAGAGTAGCCAGATCGCATCGTCAGCCTGGCGCTCTGTGCAGGGGTCGACGTCGGCCGCACGTCTGCTGTCAAAAGTTGGAATCCATTTCATCATCGTGTGCAAACAAATGCGCGGGAATTTGTCACGATAGCCTCAGCGTGGCGATATCTCGCCGGGTTTCATCTCGCTGACTGACAGCGGTGCACAAGGACAGCCGGACCTCCCAGGAGGCAAAAAGGCACAGCAGAAGACACGCTGTCAAGCCGACAGTGTGCTGTCTGTGATCCGCTTGTACAACAGTCCCAGATTTCTACCACAAAAAGCTGCACTGAAGAGATTTTCTTTTTTTAGCACGTTTTATCACTTTCTCTGAACTGTATATGTTAATCTGCTTTGGTTAATGGCTTTTAGGTGTCCAAAAGCGTCGCTATTTATTTATTTAATTGTGTTTTATAAGCGCTGGAGCAGTCGCCAGGGATCACACTGCGTTGTGTGATGTGTGATGTTCGGTATGGGGGGGGGGGGGGGTGTTCGTAGTGTGACTCTTGCTCCAGGCAGCCCAGTGGCCACACTCCCCGAGATGGACAGCTGGTATTATGGGATAGCCGGATTACAAGGCCGCAACTCCTCTCAAATACAGCATTAATGTAGTTGTGATAGCAGGCTGTCTCTGGGTGTTATCTGGGAATAGCCGCTGGTTACATGATAGTAGCTCTATCTAATAAAGCAGTGGTTGATGACAACTGCTTGGCTGTAATTATTGAACCGTCTGCACTGTTCCATTACTAACTGCCATAATATGGCAGCGTTTAGATCTTAATAAAGTGGTAGGACCGTCTCAACGCTGGTTAAATACTTAATGAACTGTCACTGAATCCTCAAACTCTGGTGGCGTTGAGGCTGTTTGTCGCGTGAGATTCTTCAGCCTTAAGATTCACCCGTTGCCCTGTTTGCATTTAAGTTTCCGCTTCAGTAAGTAGGATGCAGAATTTCCCCATCTGGGCTTCATCCACATTCTGCCCCTCAGCTAACTGTGCTGATGTGCATTTCTTTGTGTCTTTCCCCTCAGGTATTTTGGAGACCAAGCGGCTGGAGATCGTCAAATCAAATGGTACCATTGACCAGGTGCTCGGCAACGTTATCTACCACGCGGCAGATTTACCCATATGGTGGCAAATTCCTCAGTACGTGCTCATAGGAATCAGCGAAATCTTTGCCAGCATTGCAGGTACGGTGGTTTTATGTCTCCTGTGTTTCATTCAGCACCTCCGTCAGGTAGACGGGATAATTCGCACTAATTCTATAAAACCAGTTCTCCAGGGATTGGCCTTTGTGTTTTGAGCTGGTAGGGAGCCGCTCTGAACGGACTGTGGGCTTAAAACCGTACGGCCCCATTTTTCTCAGCAGAATGCAACGATGGTGATGATGAATGTGTAAATTCTGCTTATTTCCAAACCTCCAGAAGATGAATGAAAGGACAGATTTGCACCGTACCTCGTATCCCCGAGGGCTATAGTGACAGTGACAACCCAATTAACATCATAACATAAACTTCTCCATGTTGAGGGTTGACACGGTGGAAATATATACCAACATTAGAAAATAGTAATCGTAATCTATGCACCTGGCCTTCCTCCCATACTAAATCACACTCAATGGAGATAATCTTGACAAATTGTACCGACATACACTGGACTGCAAGTTGGACCATTAATTATCCAATTAGCATGTGACCTCAGCTTCCACACTGCTCACAGAGACATATTACCCCGCGATTCATAGAATATGATAGTAGGTCTCCTGACGGTGTCGACCTCCACTTTAGAGACATTATATTTTTGCTTCTAATGAATTCAGGGCCAAAGTATGAAGACAATCTAATAAATCGGCCCAGCTCATTGATTTTAAAGGGCGTTAATAAATCTGCATGTTGACAAATATCTCACTGTGGAGCACCGACTAAGTTTGATTAATCTCTATTGGCGTATTAGTTTGGAAGCCAAAGTTCAGGCACAAAGCTTTGTGCTCGCCAAGATGCCCCATGGAATGAGTGCTACAACTCGGGTGACGAACTTGTAATAATCCTTATTCAATATATTGTGTCTTAATGCTGGTTTGAAATCATTTTGTGAGTAGTTTTAATCTTCTACCAACAGAAGAAAATACGAGGTTGTTTACATGACTCTTGAATATAGTTCCAGGTCTTTGGATTAAATGTTGTATTATGGCGGGCGCTTAGACGATTCATTCCTGTCAATATCATTCAAAGAAAAATCCCACAATCCTTCACTGGAAACGGGGCAGTGTTTGCATTCTCTGAAAAATAGATTTCCTGTTCTTTTCTGAGAAATGATTAAAAGGAAAGCATTGCATTAAAGCAGCTCACAAAACGTTGACAGTTGTTTGAACTGTCAGACTTTTTCTGGTTAATTTTAATGGGATCAGCTGAAAAATGGTCCTTTCTGGTAAACCCTGACTTAAACGTGAAATGCTATTTAATTTAAAGCCATAGAGAGTTAGGACAAATTGATGCAGTAGTACAATAACTTACAAAGTGGGACTGATTGACAAATGAAATAGCGACTGCCAAATCTGAGCCAAGAATGGAACACCAACAGTGTTCTTTTTTTATAAAGAGAGGGTAGTGCGGGTCTGTGAGAAACCAAAGATCTGCCTGGTATTGTATTTATCTATAGGTTTCTTCTTCCCTGCCTTTGTCTCTCCCTCTGCCATGATCGTGCCTCCAGGTCTCCGCTGTCTTGGTGGTTGAGATTTGTTAAGCCCCGGAGCCATGATTGAGTCATTCTCCTATTACTATGGGTCATACACTTGTGGGTTCTTCTATATAGCAATTGCTTTCTTTCTATATCAAGAGTGAAGATTGAACCATAAATATTGAAGACATGTTTTTGGTCATCACCGTGGATGGATTATCAAGCCGAACCAGCCAATGCGGACATACACATTCACTCCATGAGGCTTCTTTACCACACCAGGAATTTGCACTAAAGTATCACAGTGCCCATGAAAGTCAAATCCAGACCTAACAAAGCTATAGGGATCCTCAAAATAGACTTGCTCTCCTCTCTCCCTCCATACCATCCCTCGCGGCTTACCTAAAGGAAAATTCTCTGACAGAAGTGTGACATATATCTGGTTAAGAGCACTATTTCCCCTCGGTATTCTTCAGTGTGAATAAATCTGTTTGAAACCTCTGGTGCCGTCGAACATCCTTGCTGCAATCCCCAATCTTTAGGACATCTTGGTAATTCAGCGATTGTACACTTTGCTGCTGTCTGCTTTTTGTCTACAGGAACAAGAAAATGCAAAAACCTTAATTGTGTATTGCACTTATTAAAATGTTAAAGGCTAAAAGACATACAAAATCTCCCCACCAACGATGGCCTCAGGAGACAAGAATATTTATGCATTTTTAATTCCTTTATTTTTTCCTAAATACTTCTGCCCTTTGGCCGAGAAAGGTCACGCTCATTTAGATTGTTTTCTTGAATTTTTGTTGTCACAAACGGAGAAGAACTGGATTCCACATAACGTTTCGTATTGGCCGGTGCAAAGCTGCATCTACAATCCCGACCAACCTTTGCGGCCCCTTGTGATAAGTATGCCTATTGACCAATCGAAAGGTTAGCTTAGGACACAAACAAATGTATCACTGTGAACTTTTGCAAAGGTCATTTATGTTTTGGTTGGAGTAATAACAGTATGCCACGCTCTTATCTCCTTCTCTTTTTATTTTTTTAAGCGACTAGCGCAGGTAATCTGCACGTGTACCGCACGTCACATTCATGAGCAATGTCCCCCTCTAAGGAAGGCCTTAAAGGCAAATGTATTTAACTGCAGCTCCCTAATCTGTACTGACAGATGTAGCTATAGGCCCTCATTTGAAAAACCACATGTTTTGAAGTGCCATGAAATTATCAATGTCAGCTAGCAGGCAAACCGATCTCTAGGCAAAAACGACACACTTCTTTATTTCTCTTGCCCATCATGTCACATTAAATACTGAGTGATGTATTTTTCCAGGAAGAAAATATAATTTTTTGAGACCATTGACAACCCGAGTCGATACCAAACAATGGCACCACAAACCGGTGCCCCCATTAAAAATGAAATGCCAAGAAATCCTTTTAGTCTCACATGGAATATACTAAGAGGAAAACAGTCTTCATATTAAAAACCCTTCATATTACATAGAAACGTGACGACAGATATTATATCTCGATACATAGTGCAACTTTGTTTACCCCACTCTCGAAGACAAAGCGTAAGTTACTGGCTACATTACAGCATGTTGCCAGAGGACACGGCATATACGCTGTGTTCAATGTTCTATACCCAACAATTCAACCATCCAACTCTTTTTACTCTCTTTTATTTTGCAGGTCTGGAGTTTGCATATTCTGCAGCCCCCAAGTCCATGCAGAGTGCCATCATGGGGCTCTTCTTCTTCTTCTCTGGGATTGGCTCCTTTGTGGGCTCCGGTTTGCTGGCTATTGTCTCCGTCAAGGAGATTGGCTGGATGTCATCCCACAGGGACTTTGGTAAGAGAATACTGTAGCTTTTTCACTTATTATACGTGGACGTACCATGGAAAGTTTCCGGAAACTTACCATAAACTTTCTGCCATGTGCAACCCTAGTCCTGATGTTGCACAGCAACAAGCAAATTACCTTATTGTTTGAACCTTCAGCTCTTTGACAGGCATGAAGACTCATGGGAAACATGACTTTACCTGGGATTACATTTAAAAAAATTAAAAAAAGAAGCTCCTCTCTTCAAAATCTCTTCGAGGCGATTGATCTTCACTCAGAGTTTTCTTCGGGCCGCACATAATCCTCCTGAATGCAGCATTACAGTTGTCAAGCCTGCCGTTAGATGCTCGGTGCACGTGGAGTGCATTATTGACTTCGCACATCGAGTGTATGGACTGGTAATAGAATTGTTGGTATCGATTTCAGATTGCAGAGAGTTTCTTTTTTCTTCTCAGCGACGCACTGACCGCTTGTCGCATGTGCCACTCTGAAAATCTCCTTTTAAAGCTTTTAAATAAGATGCAGAGAGAGGAGGACGGCGCCCCGTACAGCCCTCTCCTTTTAAGGGCGCTTCCAATAATAAATGGACATGTCAGACTAACAACAAAGGGTTTGCGTAAATCTGTCTTGAGTGGTGGAATGAACAGCAGACGGATGGGCTCCCTGGCGAGAGGAGGCTCTCAACCCAGATGCACTTTTCTCTGAGCATGCGGTAAATAAGCCAACACTGTAAATTGTTTACCCACAAACGCCTAATAGCTCATTAATACAGTGTGCCGACAGGTAGGGGGGGCATTTCTGATGATGTTAGCACTGGAAGATGCTTGGCACGCTTCATAAATCCACCCTTTGCTCAGCCTCGCTGCACTCGAGGGGCAGTCAAAACTAGAGCCAGACTGCCTGTAAGACTTATTTTCATTTTCCAAAACAAGGCATTTAAAAAGGTGAGCCGCAGAAATGGAACAAAACATCCTCCTGGCCACTGATGAAAAAACACATTAAATACAGTCGGGATTCATGCGGTTTGTTTTCGTGGCTGTTTTTCACACTTTGTTGCATGTTAGCTTCTTCCACATCTCACAGCTCTCTGGGTGGAATGGATTCAACTCATTTCAATGGCCGCGGGCAGAAGAGTGTGCAGTAAACAGCCCTTTGGATGAGCCGTGCTAAGTTGTAGTGGACTGTACGGGCCTGAAGACAGATGAGCAACATTAATCACAGGCCGGGGGTCTGATTGCAGAGCCCCGGATAAGTAAAGCTGTCCCTGCAGCGCTGCATGGAGATGGCACTGCTAGGGTGGCATCCCGGAGGTGGTTTGCTCAACTCTCGGTTGTGCCGTTGCGCCTTCTCTGCCTGCTTCGCTCCAACTAATGTTAGTCTGCAACAGTCTAGTCTGACCTTTTTGGTACGGTTTCACCAGCTGTTCTGCAAACGGGAAAGAGTCTGAAACGCTCGATACACACATGTGCTTTTTTTATTTGTGAACAGGCTGGTTGCTTCAGTTTTCATGGTTTTTCAAAATGACTTCTTGTGACAATATAAATGGAGACATTAGTGATCCCAATAGGAAGATAATTTATCTATATATATATAATACCCATTTATACATAAATTACTTTCTAATGTTTTTATGGACACAAAAAAGCTTTCATTATATAATGATCTAAACCTTTTGCTAATTTGATTTGTGGAAAATGCTGCAAACATCTTAAATAAAGGACCATGTGAAAGGAACGAACCGTTTCGGGAAAGTTTCAGAAGATCCAATTTCTCACACAACGAGCACTTTAATGCACGTAAATGCAGTTTGTATTCCACTCTCACAACATCCATGTTTTAAAAAGGATTATAAATCCTTTTAAAAGCATCTAAAATATTTGTGGATTCCTGTAACATTTTTCCAAATCAAGAAATATTTCTGTGTGAAATCAGAAATATTTTAGTAAATCTTATTTTTGTTTATATGTGGACTAATTTTTGAAAGATTGAAATATGTTTTGTGGAGAGAACTATTTATATATACAAAATACATTTATAAATCATTTTGTGTGCATTATTTAATACTATGATGAGACACTGTAAAAGCAGGCAATTGATTTAAAGACATTTTGGGGATGTAAGACATTTAGCAGTGTTCTTGGTTAATCTTCAACTTACGGATACTACCCCTCGCACTAGAAATGCTTAGTGATTGGAGATTGGAATCAGTTTTAGCTGCTGCCCGAATCAGGCATTTAGATGCTGCACATGCAGCCGTTTTTTAATTGCTTCAGGTAGACATGCATGTATATTACGTCTTTGACAAACTCATGAAGCCATACCTCCAAAAGCGAATGACTTTCCCATCACACAGCACGTGTGAATGACCTCATGTGCGACTAAAAGTTCAGCACAAAGCGTTGGGGGGAAAAAAAGACTTGTAGTATTTCAGCTACATCTGCTCCCCGACTTAAAACACCGAGAGCTCATGTGTTGAAATTATTGATCCTTCCAATCTGCCGGCACATCGTTCCCCCACTATGGTTCCATCTGGTTGAGTAGTCATCAGTCACACTGGTGTTTGGTCTTTTTGATGCATATAACAGCAGCTCTCCCTTTCCTGCACGGAGGCGTTTTAACCTCGTCGGGTCAATTAAATGTCCACCTCTACTTTCTTCACTAGCATTACCCTTCTCACAAGAGGAACTCTTTGTTCCCTGGAAATGTCTAGTACTGCGTTACATTTTTTTTAATCTAATGTAAAGTGTTTTTTTTGGTTTGTGGGCTCCTCTGGTCACATGACAGGAAAGCGCCTTTTTTTTCCTTTGACCCGTGTTCAAGGCGTTACTGATCTTCTATCAGATGTCTGGGACGTGTTCAGACACTCGGAGCAGGCTGACATTCGCACATCCTGCTCACGAAGTGTCGGATCACATTCAGGTAAATGTCAATGCTTCAATGGACGCCTTTAATGCCAGATCATGCAAATCTGACTAGAAGGTATTTTTTTTTAGTCCATGTCAGAGGCAACAAAAGGCAAATAGAAATAGCAAGCATCGATGTGCTCAATGTGAGGGATGGGATCCATAGAAAATAACTATTGATAGCTGAAACAAATATTGATTGATTCCCTCCCTGATTTCATTACTGTGGATGGTACTGAATGCGTTAAAGCATTACTATGATGGGTCTGCCAGCCCGCGGTCTGGATCAATTGATCTATTTTCAAACGTCGAATTGATATTGACCCGTTTCATCTGGACTCACATGCTGGGCTGAAACCCACTCACAGGTAAATTGTCCCACAGGTTTACTCCTCTGGTGTTGGCTGGCTGAGCCTTTCTGCGTGTGCATCCAGTGTGATCACAGTATTGTTCTTCTCTATGTGGGAGCCATAATATATAACAAAATGTAATCCAGACCCCTTACCCGTATGAAACAGTCAACCGTTTTCCAAGCTGTTCCCCAAAAAATAGTTAAAATCTGTGTTTTTATGCCACTTATTTTGCATTCTTTGAGTCACAGTTAAAAGAGACGTTTGGAAATCAGGACCAAAAGGTGGAGATCCACTTTGCAGGAATAACAACATTCCCGGGGGGGGGGTCGAATATGTCGCTGTAAATACTGCAACCATTTGTCATACATTAAATATTCTGCTTTACATAAATAATGATCATATTTGAGTGAACACTCTGGATGTTCCCCCGACATAATTTGTATGCTACATCCCGGCCTTTTGTAAGCCACACCGCTCTTTTAATTAAGACGGCAGTGGGAGACTCCCGGTTGGTCTGTTAGGGGAAGTTATCGATTGAAAGTACAAGCTTCTTTGCTGCTAATGCACTTCTCGCCCCGCGCGCTCGCCTCTCGAACACCTTTCATCGCATGAATTATTCAAACACCTCCTCGGTTCCTTGGTCTTTTTTTTTTTTTCACGATCTAAAATGATAATTTTGTACTAAACAAAGATGACAACAGAGTACGTTAGACCTGAGAAAGGGGTCAAAGTGTCGTGTTTTCCCGTCTGCCTCACAGCTTCAGCTCTCTGTTCCTACATCAAAGGGTCCAGGCTGCCGAATTGACGAAGACGTCCGCGTTACTTTTATTCCCGCTCGATTTCTGATCATCCACAAGAGCACGCAGACGAGCGAGAGACCGGAAAAAAAATGATTAATACGCACGATACACTTGGTGGCATTACAGAGGGTGATCCGACTCTACTGATCACAAGTGATCATGCAAAGCGCCGGGAAAACGTGCTTCAAGTTCGTTAATCCTGCTCTCTGATCAGCAGCAGACGTCCCCGTAACTCGTGTGCGAGAACATGAAGGTTTTCCGTGTTGGCGATACTTTGTGAGACAGCTGCCTCTAAAGGCGGATGCTATACAGGAGGTTAGAATGTATTTTTGTAATCTGCTGGCTTGTTTTGATCACAGTGTAACAGGCTGGTTATTTATAATCCATATAATATGTTTTGACATATCTGTGTGTTTACCGTCTCAAATCACAATGTTGTCCGATCTTTGAGTTGTACGCATTTACGTCTTACAACTTGAACCCTTTTGATATTATGTTTTCAATTCATTGTTCAGTTCTATGTTCAAATTCAGACCATTTGATTAATCTGCTAAAATTGTCTTATTCAGCGCCCGGTTGTCCCCCAGTGACTCATTTTGAAAAGCCTGTGAAAACACAGTAATACTATTGAATTATTTCCGTAAGAGTTTCCTGGAAAGAACTTTTAATCTGGCAAATAGTTTATAGCTAAAGGGCAAATAGACCCAATGTTCCATTAACTACAGTAGATCCAGTTATTTAAGGCTGATGAATTGCCACTTAAACCTAGAAAGTGTTTTAGTGTGAACACAACAATCAAGCATACAAAGCAATATTGTATATAGTGAATTAAAGGTTTAATAATGGATTAATAATAATTGATAACGCATTTAGGCTAAATACAGGCACATATATCTGGATTAAAAAGGAAATTCCTTCTGGAAACATTTATAAAACGTTACGTTGGACACAATGTAACTATACGATTGATTTGACGCAACCTTCTTAATGAATCATTCCTACCGCCGCCGTACTCATTTTGAGTTATTGTTGTTTTCTACCATTTCAAATCTCCGACCGCACGCCCCTGACTTCTGGTCCCGCGCGTTGGCCTCGTGGCGCTCTGTGCCGCCCAGGCAGCAGCGGCACGATTTCCAGCGGCGGCGCCTCTGCGTTTGTGGAGCCATTGATGTCATGCTCCGCTGGGGCTGGAGCGGCTGTGTTGGAGCGATAAAGCCGGTGATGTGGCGGGCTCGGAGCGCATTCAGCGCTCGCCGCACCCTCTGATCTGTGTGGCTTTGGAGAGGCCTTTTGCCCTCAGCGCAAAAAAAACATGAGCCAAAACAGCAGGTGTGCTCGGAGACGCCCACGCAGTGCGTATCTTATATATGAAAAATCATCGCTTCTTCCCCTTTCGCTGGCTGTGTGTTCCGTGTGACGGCGCCACGCGGAGAAGCTGATGGGAAATGTTTGAGGAAGACAGCCGATTGCGCCGTGGAGTCCCATCTAGTCTATTTAAGCTCTAGGTACCTCTCTCCACTGCCAAAACTGGATGGAGCCCGTCGATACAAAAAGGCCCCTTCTTCAATGTGCTCTAGAGGTTTTGTTTAAGGCAAATGTCTCCTCGTCAAGAAAGGGTTGTGAACAGCCTCATCTGCCGCTAATACAAAGTCAATCTATCTGCCCGACATGGTCAAGAGGACAAAAACAGCTGCTCTACCAATCCAGTTGGCTCCATACTTGAACAGTGGAGACGTTTGTTATTGTTTTGCCCCGGCCAGGAGAAACCAGGATTTGTCTGGAGCTCTGTTGCTGGATGCGGACGACCACAGCAAACGTTAAGACCGTTGAAGTGTGGCAGCTCATGGTAGAAGTCTGTTGAAACTAACTGTACGCCCTTACTTTCATCATACCCACTCTGCTTTCAGCCCCCCCCCCCCCCTTTACAAGCAGAAGATCACAGTGCATGCGTCAGTTTTCTGTTTCTTTTTTTTTTCTCCTTCCCTTTAATTGAATTCCTTTCCCACGAGGAAACAAAACCGTCCTTTTAATACGGATGAAAGTCTCCCCGGTTGGAATCACAGCTGTGAGCCTCCGTTGCTCTGTTATTTCTGACGCCCGTGTCCCACATCATCAACACCGCCGCTGAGCGGGGTCAACCGTCTCCACTTTTCAGAAGGTTCCGCTGTGGCGATGAGAAGTAACAAGCCCCGATGCCAAATCCCGACAGCGTCGCGTCTCGCTGCCACGCAGACTTCAAGTGAGCCTTTTGTGTTTCGCAAAAAAAAAAAAAAAAAACCACAACAACCTGCCACACTTGAGAGCTCGTGGCCGTTTACCTTTGCCTTTGGTTTTCTTTTAACGCGTGGCAGTACTTTGCGATGAAAGGACCCTCCCGCTTGTCGCCCTCTGAATATGTCGCGACTGACTCTTTTGTTCTCCCAATTTCCCTATTTGTCATTTCGTCGCGCGGCTCGCTCGTTTTTTTAAAGCTTCATCCGGTTGCCAGTGTAGTTTTTTTTGAGACGTAACGCATCTCCTTCTAATAATGTCTGTGCGTTCTCTCCTTGCAGGCAACATCAATGACTGCTCTCTGCACTACTACTTCTTCCTGCTGGCGGGCATCCAGGGCGTCACCTTGCTCGTCTTCCTCATTATCTCGTTCAAGTACGACAAGCAGAGGGGCAGAGCGGGAAGCCAGAGGCAGAGACACGTCTCCTCTTGACCCGCTCACGTGTCCGTGTGCCATGCCGGCCTGTTTCAGTCGCATCGCTCGGTGCCAAATCGCCCTGTTGAAATAGGTACTTACAAATCAAAGCCCACACAAGTCTGCTTTATTTTAGTGGCTCTTGTTTTTGTGACGATAATGGTTCCATCACTGGATGCAGGCACAGAAAGTATAGATATGAACACAGGAGCCCTGTTTGAAATCAGTTCTAGCAGTTTGTTTACTCTTTTTGCCTTTTTTTGACCATTTGCACTTGACTTGAGGAGTGGTGCCATGAATATTCACGATCTCCAGATATTTTCTTATCATGAAGAATGCTCGGTTGTTTTTATAGTTTGGATTTATATTGTTTGTTCTCTAACAAAGTCTTATGTTTGGACTTTTGCTAACTATTTTACTGACCCTGGTGTAAAACATCTGTATTTAAATGATTTCTGGAAAATGTTGTGCATTAAATGTACATATTCAGCATTATTTTTTTACAATGATTGATTACAATGACCTTTGTTGGACTTTTAGAGTGCTTTAAATACCTATGCGGTTACTTAGCTGTGATTGAATGTTGAAATGTGTTTTAACTGGAGTTAATATATTGTTGCAGAATTTGCTGGAAGTCCTTGCTTTTAATGACAGAATGGGGCTCTTGTTTGAGGAGATTCCAAAGAAAGTACTTTTCAAATATAATATCAAGAGAAAAAAGCTCCCACATTTGTTACCACTGCCTGCGATTACATACTGTAAATCCACATAAATCCATCCAATAAATCCGCTATAAATCCTCAAACAGACCCATACATGAATACTAATAACTCCTCATGGTAAAAATAGTCCAATCATTCTACAGAGCTTCACAGCAGTTTTTCTATTTCTGGTCAAGCTGTTAAACTACCTGACAAACAACTAATTATAAGTTTACAGGCAACCTCGATTCATAGTTATAATTCCATAATAAAATAAAGCATAACTTTCACAGTATTTGCTGCCAGGAACCGGTTAACATTGTTAACTTGGCTTTGCAACTTTTTCCGATTTTTTTTTTTTTAAGAAGCTTCCGTTTTGTTTTACCTATTTGACGGTGATTCATCTGATTTGGTTTTGTAGTTCTGAGAAAAATGTGTTGCGTTGCTTGAATTCAGTAGCGTTCAAGGTATTTCATTTTATTAAGACAAGAAACTCTCAGGGCTCCAGGAAAAGAGTAACAGCACATGCATCCCAAGAATCTATTTCTTGTATTTAATTGGTCGGTAAACTAGATTTTCTTGTGTTATTGCATTATACATACGAAAAATGTTTTACGTTTATTTTGGAATTGTATTCTTATTTCGTGATGCTTCAGATCTGGGATATTGTTTTTGCCATTATTAAAGTATATTACATAAAGTATTGGGCTTGTCATTTCCAGCCAATGTCTAAATAGTTTCACCTTGCCAAGCTGCTTCAGGCTTCTTGTCACATCCCTTCACCTGCTTTCATTTAGTTTTCATTTCCCCACACTTTCGTCATTCGCATTTTCTTTTCTTTGCAATCCCGCGCTGCTTTTACCGTCACAGTCGTGCGGTCAGGAGTTGATTTAAAAGAAAACGATGTGTCGCCATCGTTCAATTTTAAACCTTTAATTTGTAATCAAATGTATTGAGCACCGGAGCACATGGAGCACGTTATAATTTAGGGCAGCAGAGTGACCCTGTTGTTTAAATGAGAATCGCAGATTGTAGCCTTCTGTATCCCACCAGAACGCTATCGTGATTAGGGCAATGGTTTGTGGCTCCAAAGTCAGCAGTAATAATGATTTATGTTTCAGAAAAAACCAAACCCTGAGACCGGCTGTAAGGGGAAAAGCTTGCAAACACAGAGGTTTAAAGCCTCATTTTGCCTCCCCGTGGGGGGAAGGCGGTATGTTTCCTCTTAGTTTCATCAGACACAGATTGAAATCAAGACGACCGTTTTTATTTTTTTATTTTTTCTAATGCTCAGCCCTCACAGCCAGGAGGCGCGGAGAGAGGGCTGTTTCCCTTTTAATTTGGTCAGAGAGCCCACATCGCCTCGGCCGAGCAGACAGCTTGATGTCGGCAACCAGCACGATGCCTGCGGGTCGTCATTCCAGCGCGGCGGCTTGTTTCTCACGTTGAGAGGAATTTTTTGACACGTCAAAGTGTTTATGGGGGCAGCATTGCGAGGAAGTAACAATGAGATGTGGGGTTTTGGAGCTGACCTCCAAATATCTTAAGATGATTTATTGGTCAGGATTTAAGCAAACAAACAGCATTTATTATGCTACCTGCTGCAGTTTCTCTTGTTTCCAGGATTTTCCTGGGCGCCGAGGTAATGCCTCAGAGATGCTGGAGTGAGATGTCTTTAAGGTTTACGTGTATTATCTAAAGTGGTAATAATAAATGAAGACGATGAGGGGGAAATTGTGTTTTTAGTGGCTTTTAATTCTCCAGATATCTGGTTTGTTGAAATGTATCAACATACTTTGTGATATTAAAAAAAATTAACTGACGTGTCCCGTAAAATGGTCTTAAGAATTGCAAAAGAAGCAAGCTGGTGTGTGTGTGTGTGTATTGGCGTGCTACTTACGTGACCTTTTTGAGGGCTCGTGGCAGTATAACATAATCTACCAAATACTAAGCGGATTCTAATTGCATTACTGCGCCTTACCTGTGTAATGAGCAACCAGCAGATGCTGCAGAAGATGTTCCTCCACTAATTGGAGGATTAGGAAGTATCATCGCATGTTCATTAAGATAAGCTAATGCAGGCACAATGTTTAAGAAGAAGGACCGGGCGGACGAATCGGCCATCTTTAAGCACTAATCATCCGCATTTACACAGGCCTAATCATCTTATCCGAGCTCTCTTTGTTTGGCGTCATCCTGCGGCTTTCTGCACGATATTCCAAATGGGAAAGTCTCGGGCACGAGGACAGTCGTTTAACTCGGGGAAAACGAGCGACGAGGGAGAGAAAAGCGCTTTCTCGCAATCTCGTGTACCAGGAAGCGCGTTGGACTTGTCACCTGAAAGGCTGCGCCAAGCACGCCGCCGGTTTAAGGGTGTTCATTGAGACGGATTATCTGTGAAATAAGCAACCGTAAAATGCGTTTAACAGCGTACATCTATCTGGATTTACGACATCGACCTCGGTTATTATGTGCAGGTCCAGTGGTTCGGAGCGTCCCATTCCTACAGAATGGGGCTTGACTCCCATGAATAAAAGGACACGTATCAAGATCTATTTCCCCCCCAGCCACAATGAGGAGCATCATTTGAGTTTGCCGTATCTGCGTTGCCCTCTTGCCCTTCTGCGGTTTACCTGGCGGATGGTGAAATGGCCCGACCTGCGTCAGGGTGCCGCCTGATGGGTCGCTCCTCCTGGGTGGATGTATCTAAATGACATGGTTGGATGCTCGCCCCATGCTGCGGCCGCAGGGCCTCGCTTGCTGCTGCTGCTCTTATTTATTGCCTTTTTCTTGCGGCTACAGATTCAGGGCTCATACTGTCACGTAGTGCACATGCCTTTACTGTTTGTGTTCACATCACATTGTAAGAATCAAAAGCTGGTTGATGGATCATCATCTGAGAGTTTATATATAGGTTCAATTGAGATAAGATATTGCTGGTGGTATTCTATGTTTTTTCTTTACAAACAAATCTGAAACCATCAAAAGCAACACAAGGGGCTTATTCATCTGCTATAAACTTCCAGTCATGTCTAAAAACTATTAAAACAACATGTGACACTGAAGTGAAGTTTTTCTTTATTATGATGAACATTAACATCGTCTCGGTTTTATAAATCCGGAGCACAAAATATGTATCCGTCTAAAGCTAAAAATAGTCCCCAACAGCTGCTTTATTATCTCCTGTATGAGCCCAGCTGTTTAAATGACATTACAGTTGTTTTTCATTAATTCTGTTGATTTAGATCTTAATCTGCCACTGACGGCCCTAAAGCATCGAGCGACAAACCAGCCAACGACAAACATACCGTAGGGTTTTTAATCTTTTTGTGCCCTTTGTTGAGAGAACTAAAGAAAGCTACAAAATGAGTATCAACCTTTTCTTGAAAAGTTCTAATCAAGCTTTTGGTCGGGTGTGAGGTGAGGAGACCAGGCAGTGATTGAAGAGCATTTACAAGGTAAGTGAGACAAGTTTCTGTGTACTTGTGTGTGTGTGTGTGTGTGGTGGTCTTCCCCCTGTGGTGCACCGGTCAGGTGGGAGATGGTGTGTTTACATAAACACAGATTGGGCACCGGGGTGTTGTTTGCGTACGCTGTTGTCTTTGGTTCCCTACGGCTCCGTCTATGAAAAACATCGGTCAGACAGGAAGGTCGAGATGACCTCGCCGTTCCTCTGCCACTGCTTGTCTGCGCGCGTTTAGTCGCTGCGAAAAATACTACCAAGCGATTGCAAAAAAAAAAAAAAAAAAAAATATTCACAGCAAGCAACATGAATCAAGCCGCGAATAATCATTTGGAAATTGCAAATAGAGACCTGGCACATTAGGACCACGGGGAGCACTGCCAACCATTAGTGTGAGTTTGTTGGTCTCACATCATCAATTTAATTAAAAATCCATTTAAGACGGAGGCCCGGGGAAGGCTTTTCTTCTCCTCTCAAGGAAGTCAAGACATCAAGGCCAGCTCAGATGAGTCGGAGTCACCAGGCTCGGAGAACGGAGGCGAGCGAAAAATCGTTACGCCGCCTTGTGCCGCATCTCAGCAGGTTGTGAACACAAAGTCTTCAGCCGGAGCCCCGGAGGTTGGAGGCGGTCGGTCTTTAATGGGCTGCGCTGCTCTTCTCCCACCTGAAGACGCCGAAGCCACCGACGACGGTCAAGGACAGAGAGTCGCAGTTTTTTTTTGTTGTTTTTTGGGTTTTTTTTTTTTAATTACACGGGGCCCTCCATCAATCATGGCCCTTGTGGCTGACAGTTAAATCCCTCCTAGACCTGCACCAGCTCGCCCTTCACAGTCCACCAGGCTGAGCAACGCGGACTCGCTTCAGTCCCCTGCAGTCCCCCGCAGGGCCGCAGGAGCATCACGCAGCAAAAACAGACAACAGGACAGCAGAAACGTCTGTGTGTGTGTGTCTGTGTGTGTGAGAGTTGAGTTTCACCTCAACTAAACTCAGTATAAGAAATGGTATCACCATTTATTATATTAGTTTGCTAAACAGGAAGCTCACTTAGCAAACAGTTGTGTAAAAGGTAACAAATGTGTCGATCCTCAAGAGGATCGGTAGTCAACACACTTGAATTACGCATTTGGCTTGCAGTTTATGTCAAATGGTTCTCTGAGAATTCTTTTGCTCTTCGGTGTTTATACAGTTTGAATGAAACATGTTGCAGAGAATGAATTAGTGAGCTTTGGAAGTGTAGCAGAGCAGAGCCATGCAAGCTGTTCCTCCTTGTTTCCAGTCTTCGTGCTCATCTCAGCTAGAGGGAATTTCCTGCTCCACATTTAACTCAAATAGAAGAGGAAGGTTCACATCTTTAACAAAAAGAAAATGGTAAAAATGAGCACATTTCCCGTTACTCCCCCAGCTATTTACTTACCTTTCATTGCTTGTTTTAAATAAATAGGTTTCATGTCGTGGGAAGTCAGTTGTGCGGCATGCAGTGGATCGATAGCAGCTTCACGGAAGAAGAAAAGAGAATAGTTCGACCGGCTGCTTAAACAAATTAAATAAAAGTAGAAAAGCCACTGAACTTTCTTAACAGGTGTCTGGAGGCGCTGCATGCAGTGCTGACATAACTCACCTAATCTAAACGACATCCCATAATTACACTCAAGGTAGTGCTGGCATTTCCATGACTATCTCACCTCGCTTCTCTCAGGCAGACCGCTGATTAACAATCCGACCCAAACCGCAGCAACAGTTAACATAATGTGAACATTTCCCTGCTTGATGGAAAATAATAACAAAAAAAATGCAATCAGCCAACAGCAGTGTGCCGATAATAACATTCACTGAGCAAAATGCAATTTTTCAGTCGACTGCCCTTGTTTAGGAGTTTTTTTTGGGGGAAATGATTATTATTTGACCAATTATCTAAATACTTGAATATCCATTTCCAAAAAAGGGAACATTTCCTACATTGCATGTAATTATCCCTCTTCTTCTCACCACTGTACCTGAGAGATGGAGAGCACATTTCATCCCAGTTTGTCCTTCAGCGAGCTACAGGACTGAGGTTAACGGGACCTTAATTGGTATTTTACTCAACGGCCACTTTGCTTTAAACTTGGGGGGGGGAGTGGGGCACCGGTCCACACACATTTAGTCTCTGGCTGTCGTGTTAGGGTACCGACTGAGCATTAATGGGTGCTGCCTTCCTCCACCGACCAGCATTATAGAGGAGCAGATTGTTTTGTGGCTTGTGGGTAAATTCTACTTATAAAGCTCTGCGGATGCAAAGAATGAAGGTGTAATTGGCTGCTCTTCCTCAACCACATTCCTCAGCTGACCTTAGGGCTCGAGAGTTGATAAGGCCTAATGATGCTGCGGTCAATAAAAGCTGATACACGCTCTTGACATCGTTGTGTATTTCTTAAATGTTATGAAAAATACAATATACAGAGCAACAATACAATGCTGTGGAGACTGTTCTATATATATATAAATTGTATATATATATATATATATATTTTGTTTTCTGCCACGTTAAGGAAGATGATCAAGAACCAGAGAGCAATGCCTTTTTTTTTTCTTCTTTACCATCGACATGCAGACATTTCCGGTTGCTTGCTTTGGTCTCTCCAGAACTCTTCCACACACTATCCATCTGGCGTGAGAAATTAATATCCAAATGTTACAAAACTTCCAAAACCATTTAATGTGCACTCACATTCTTAACATCTATCTAGACATGTTACTGGTTGTTTTAAAATCTACATGTTTAATTATTACATAGTCCTGGGATTATTCTAATCTAAACCCTGTAATAATCAAATGAAGATAAAAAGGTAATCATTTGATAAACAAACGAAGAAAAAAAAGAACCACCTGACTTACTAATTCATTGTCATTTTCTTCATTAGTGATTATCAGTCACTTGTGGAACAATCTTCTAATATTAAACGACCCTTTGGCAGTTTGCGGGTCCGGTTCCTGTTCAGACCCACTTTCCTCTGAAAGGCATAAGGGTGAGTTCGTTACAAGTGCACACTGTACATTATGCCACCTCATTTAAAGCGCTCTCATTTAACCTTTCCATGTAATTGCGCAATTCCTTTGAGTCTCCAAGCACGGCGTCTTGGCAAACCCACTTGATGTCCTGGCCGCGGCTCCCGGTCAGCGTGTTAACGGCGGCGTAGCTGCTGTCCGAGGGGATGGTGGTGAACGTGGTGAACTTGACTCGCTTCCTCTTGGTGGTGGGCGATTCTCCTTTGCCGTCCTTGGCGACGCACCCGGTGTCGGCGCCGCGGTGCACTTGGCCCTGCACGTTCTTCTGGGCCGAGCTGCCGTTCAGCAAGTGGCTGCCCTCCTCCAGGCCGCCGCTCGAGTCCATCATGGAGGTCTGCTCCTCCTGCTGGGGCGACAGGCTGACCTGGCTCTCCAGCAGCTCGGCCTCGTTCCCCAGCCACACCCAATCGTGGGCGTGGTTCATGTTCTCCTGGCCCTCGATCGAGAGCTCCTTGTGCCGGTACTTCAGCGTGTATGAAATGCAGTTGATGAGAAAGACCAGGATGGCGAGGCAAAAGACCCCCAGCAGGGCGTACATCCCGATCTCCAGGTCCGTGAGCCCGCGAGCGGTCTGAATGAGGTCGTCGTCCATGTTGCGGCCGCGGGGCAGGTCCACTTGCGCAGGGAAGTCGGCGAAGTCAATTGGCATTTTCTGCCCGCCGTCATCCGAAAGTTTACCCCCATTGGGTCTGCGCATTATTGCGCTTCTGGCGGTGGTGGCTCTCCTCAACACCCCGTCCTCCATTTCGGAGACGGAGCTGCCGTAGTAGTGAGCGTCGGGGCCGGTTCGGTCCTGGGGCGGCGAGAGCCGGCCTCTGTTCTCGAGGTCGTCTCCATCGGGGCCGTAGTCGCTGCTCCCTCCCCTTGAGGTGTCACCGTGCCCGAACCTCACCCGGACGTTGCAGTTCCCCGCCGCCAGGATGCTGCGGCGCTTGAACTTCTGGCAGACCTCGCAAACTGTCATTTCGACCCTGACGAGCAGGCCTTGGCCCTCCGCTTCCGTCACGATGACAGGCCACTTCCACGAGGGGTTCTGCTGCACCGTCACTATCTCCTCATCTAGGGAGGTGGCCGTCAGGACAAAGAAGTCGGCATCGTACAGGTCTAGAGGAGCCACGGAGCCGTCGCTGAACTGCAGCCAGGCGCTGATCAAGGCTTCCTGTGAGACAAAACAACGACGTGCAAAGAGAGAGAAAACAGTCAGCGGCACAGACGACGCGTGGTGCCTGGACTATTATGTGAGATACACTAGAACACATCAGATTCCTTTCAATGCAGTGCTGCTGCGTGTTGCCCATTGACTTCTACTGTACCGCTTGCATGTAGTCCTCCTTATACTTGCTATAAACATGGAGTGTTTTACATTGTAAGACCAACGCAAGCTCACCAATCTGCACGGTTCCGATATCTCAGTGGCTATTCTCTCTGAACTACAGTGGGGGGGTGCAGATTAACGATAGGCAGAGATCAAACAGTAACATTAAACGGGTGAGGATTTGCCACGCTCAGGCCCTCTGCTGCTGCAATTTCACAATTTGCCTTTTAATGTTGGCAAAGGACAAATCCCCTAAGGCGCAAAAGTACATCCCCACGGTGGTCTGTCAACGCTCCCTAATTACGGACACCGGGGGACTTACAGTGCAGCGCTGCCTGCTTATCTTCACAGTTTGCGCCTGGAGATAAGGGAGATAAATGGCCTTCCCATCCTTCGTTGCTCGGAGGACGAGAAAGGGAAGGGGAGTGTAAAAGAGCAGGCCAGGGTACTTGTAAGAGGGCTTGAAGGGCAGATCAAAGAGGCCACAATAAGAGCCGCCGGGGAAAATGAGAGAGGGGAGCGAAATATGAAAGTTTTGGCCGCGAGTCGCATTTTGGTACAGAAGCTGTGGTGTAACTTTTGCATGGTCTGAGATTAATCTCCCGTTTCTATTAGCTGCTCAAGGGAACACATTCTGTCACACCCTGGCTTTCAGGCCTTGAGTTAAGAGGGTTAGGGACAGTGTAGAATAGACAAATAGACACTTGTTAACGAGAACATGCACTCTAGCAGCTTTCCTTGATTGTAAAATTGCTCGTTCAAGGACCCTGGTACTGTGAAATGGAACAAGGAAGTAAGGCTTTTGTTTTGAAAAGCACAGTGACCAAGGCTGTGGGATGCACATTTGTAGGGCTTCTGTAGATATAGAGTCAATAACATGAATGCTGGGAGATAATAACTACTCGTGTAAAACCAATTGATCTTTTTTAATCGGACCTGGCTGGATTGTGTTTGCAAATAATTAATAGTTCAGTTTTAAATTAGGCTTTGTAATCAACCAAGGTGGCTAAGAGCGACAAGCAAAAGATCAATTCACCGTTACTTTGTTTCAAACTTCACACCAGGTCTCTTAATTAATTTGATTATCGATTATTTTCTCCCAAATTAATCAACTCCAAAAAAATTGGAAAAATGCAGTGATGAGGTGATGATATATTAGGCCAAAATACCAAAACCTAAAGATTCAGTTTACTATCAGGTACAACAAAGAAAATAAGTTTGCTTCATTAACGTGAGGATCTTATTATGGCCGAGGTCTTCAACAGGGGGTCCGCGACCCCCAAGGGGTCTGCGAAGGTATTGCAGGGGGGTCGCGAAATTTTCGATTGATAAGACAATTTATTTAAACCATTTTTTTCCCCACAAATGTAAATGTCTTCAGAATCAGAATCCGAATTTTATGTATGGTCTTTAAATACACATTAACATGAATCCAACATAATTGCTCAAAATCTCAAAAAGATTTTCCGCCTTTGTTTGCGTGAGAAGCGTTTGGTGTGATTTGATTTTGCACGATTCCCTCTCACTGCTCACTTGGCCGTGATGTGCAAATCAACATTCCTCCCACTGTCCCGTGCGATCTGCCTGCCAATCACTCCAGGTGCTGTTCTCCACTAAAGCCCCGCTTCCCACCGCTCTCTGCGCGGCTGTCGCGTCACTCGCCGGTTTGTCAGCGTGCCAGTTTGACTCTTCTGTCGTTTGGTTTGTTTGTCCGCCCGCCTGCTTTGCAAAGCCGCATCCTCCGCCTGGCCCCCTTCCCTGCCAGAGAACTTACCCGCTGTGTCTGTTTCGTAGAGCCGACCAGCTCCGAATTCACTTTGTCGAGCTTTTTGCCCCCTCACCATAACCAGCCTCCCTCTGGCCCTCTTGCTAATAAAGAGACTTGTTTTTCACCCACCGAGCCCGTTCCGGTTTCTGCATTTGGGTTCAGCCTCGCTATTAGTGACCCCGGAATTCTGACCTGTTTGGGGCTCTGCAGGATCTCCTGTGTGGTTGTGGTGGCCAGGATGGCTCTGTTGCTTCCCGCACTGAGCTGAAGGCTCAGAGAAAGGCCCGTCACCAGCTGGACCCCCAGCTCTGTGATGGTCACTTTGTCATCCACCACAGTGATGGTCTTCTCTGCCAAGATGGAGTCCGACAGAGGAGACAACACCTGGGGAGGTAGAAGAGAAGAAGCAGGGAATGTTTGACTGTGACATTAAAAACAACTCAAAAGGAAAACATGAATGATTTGATTTTATTCCGTTCCCTCAAATACGTGATTGCAAATGACCTGCGACGTTCTGGTAGGATCCATTACAGCTTTACAACTACAATATTGAATCAACCTATTGTATGCCGCGTGGTAATTTCCTGCTCTAAACACCGAGGTCTGAGGCGATCTTTCCCAGGAGAAATCAGCAGCGACAGCAACTGTAGCTGCACATGAAGAAAGAGCACTTAGAGAAACTTCATCAACAGAAACTCAAAGCTGAAATAAGTCAACACTGGACGCGTTGCTTGACTGACAGGAGATTCCTGGCAAGTGGAATGCAAAAACATCCCACCAATAAGCACCTGGCAGAGAAGATGTCCCAGACATGAAAAAAGCAGATTACCACGAGTTATATGTGATTTAAGAATCTGTCTTTCCAAGTGTTTCATCTCACATAACAAGCCTGCAAACCCATGCACACAACATGTGAAACCTACTTTGAACAAATATTATCTCTTTACTCCGGCTCTGTAGATCAAACAACAACAACAACTGGACTTGGCTGCCATCCAACCACCACGCCTCCTGCAGGTAAGAATCCATTCGCTTTGATTAATACTGGTAATTTGGAGGAAAGGCTCCCATTAACCTCCGTCCAGAGACAGGAAGAATTTACGATGGATGCCGCGTGTGCTACGCGCGCCTCCTTTGTGAACACAAATATGGCGTGACTTTAGAAGTCTTGGTTTGAGCGTTGATATATTTTTTTCTACGCCGATGTCTGATAGACAGATGAGTCCTGGATTCCGGGGAGCAAAGCCCACTCGCGGAGATGCCACGAGGAGGCCGATAATCATCCGGTTGGCCCGATGAGCGTGACAACCCGGAAGGGCCGGAGGAGCCGCTCGCTGCGGAGAGCCGGCAGGAGCCTGACAGGCTGCGACACCCCAGCAAAAGGAGGTCCTGGTCGGCGACGCTGGCAGCGAACGATTGTCCCTGGAATGTCCGGCATTATATTCCAACGTGCGTTTGTGCTCACAGAACACAAATACACCCTCATCATTTATATGTGCAGTACGGAGGAGTTTTACAGTCCTAACATCATAACTGTACCAAATTTGCATTATAAGAATAATTCCAGCATGGCATTCTATAATCACCAAGTAAGACCTTTGCCAAACTCATTGAGAGCCTCCAGTGGCCTCTGCATTGCCTTTTATATCATCAGATTTAGGGAGGGACAAATCTGTGGAAGGAGGACAAGTGGCTTCACCTTCTTTGCGACAGGATGTGATTTTGGGAAGCACTGGCGCAAGTAGAGCATTACAATAGCTAGCGCTCCCTCTAGCATTAACATGCCACAGACGTGAGGCCAAGGTTAACCTGATCTTCTTATTAAGGCCTAAACTATTTAAAACACTCTGCTAGTCAGGTTTAATTCAATTCTAATTGTCATCGTGTTGCACATCATTTCCATTATTATCATGTTATACTCACCAAAGTGTGCTTGGAAAAACTACGGCAAGTACGCTAGGTATGAAACTATAAAGCTAAAACATGGCCCACCTGGATTGTCGTCATCCCCGTGTCCAGTCCCACCAGTATCCTCCGGTCCAGCAGCTTTGCAATCTTCGGGTCCTCTACTTTCAGGAAGTCCCACACCAGCTCCGTGATGTCCAGCTGCCAATCAGTGCCCAGCATGAAGCTGGTTTGGCCTCGGGGGTCAGCTGACTCGGCTACAAAATGCGTTAGGACCCTGACCATGGCATGTTGGTACTGAAGAGTGCAGCTTCGCCCTCTTCTGTCTTCATCATCCTCATCCTCGCTGTCCCGTGTGGACCTTAGAAAATAGAATAGAAAAACAACAAATGGATGTGCAACTTTTTTAGCAATGTTGTTTGTTGACCCCACGTTTGCATGGACTGAAACTTCAGTAATCATTGGATGGATTGCCATGATATTTGGGACATCAGACATTTATAAATCAAAATGACATTCATCCTGACTTTTCATCCAGATGTCAGGTCAAAATATTGATTTGTCTTACAACTGCATAACAAATCACATCCTCATCTGGCTCAGCTGGACTTTGTTTTGAACATCCAGTCTGCTAATATGTCAAACATGGAAAGATTCAACCTGCAACACATTCGTATGAACGCATTATTTTTTTGAGCATATTAGTATTTAGAGCAACTTGCAGAGACTCCTACTCCATATAACCGACTCACCTCCAATCAAAAGGTATATCACATTAAATAAGTTGCACTTTTACAAAGGTGCAATCTAAAGTAGTTGTAGCACATGTGTATAGTGTATTTGGTAAATAAATACTAGAGAAAACCAAGCGAAGGTGAAGTAACAATCAGTCCTGGTTGATGATTTTTCTCCTTCTTTCTAACTATTGTGTAAAAGCACCTGGTCCGGGTTGTGAATGTGCTCACGCCTCCTTATGCATTGCTTAATTACTCATTACTTAATCGTTGCTCACCAGAAAATTTGCTTTGAGTGCGACAATCTGGGTTTAGATGGTTAGAATTCAGCTGTAATATCATTACAAATTTGGAAATCGCTGTTTTTTTTTGTTTGATCAAAACAGATGAAGACCAATGAGATATTGAGAGAACAACAGTTGATCTGAGAGAATTCATTGTATTGTAATTAGTTGGGACACTTTCAAACTGGATATTTGCTTGTTCAACTAGACATAAACTGCCTTCAGACGCACCCACCTTCTGTCACGCACACAAACGCACAAGGTCCATCGAGATAAAGTGGAGGAGAAAATAACTTAATACCTTAAACAGTTTTCCTCGCGATTATCCGCTCTGCTTGTCTTTTTTTTGTTTCAATCCCCTGAGAAATCTGACTGCTGGGGGAATAAAGATGTTAGCTGCACGCTCCAGAGAAAAGCCAGTGAGATTTGGAGTTAAGAGCTTAAAATCCATTTCACATGCAACTGAACGACGGCTATTCACAGAGGAAATGATTGTACTTTGGATATGTGGGATCACCAAGTTAAAACCTTTGGATTAAGTGTTCAACAAGAACACGTCAAAACATCCCGTAGATGTATTTTGGACACACTAATGTTAAGTGACTTACAGTTTTGCCTGTTGTGTTCAAAAACAGTAACAAATCAAAAACCCTGGTTATTTCTAAAAAGTGTCACATCCCTTTTTTTCCCTCTTGTAAGGGTTTTTTTTCATTTTTTGGGGAGTTTTTCCTGTGCCGATGGTGGGTTTCGGGGCAGAGGATGTCGTATGTGTACAGACTGTAAAGCCCTCTGAGGCAAATTTGTAATTTGCGATTCTGGGCTATACAAAATAAAATGACTTGACTTGACTTGACATCTTATTTACATATGATGTCAAATATTCATGGCTGAATGGGCAATAAACTAAATTATAAGAAAGAGTTCAACACTGAAATAGATAATCTGCTAATTGGATTTGTGGCAGTGTGGTTTGATGGGATTACATTTAACAGTGACCAAACAACACACATTCATTTGTCTCTGTCGTTGTACTGACAATTCCCCTTTATGAATAAGGGTCAAATTCACTGTGATTTTTAGAAGACTTCAGGAAGTGGAAATGAATGGTCAGTCTGAGGCCTTCAGTCTTATTAACAAAGTAGGATGCATGTCTGTGGATCTGTTTGTGGTATCTGATGTTAGTCCTTTGCATAGCATGAACATGTCTCCCAACAGTGTTTTTAATAAATGTCCTCTTTGTCCCTGTTTTAGAAACGCCTGTAACACTAGATTAACACAGCGGATCCGTTGTGTCTAAGCAGCTTTGACACATTTAATGCACATTCGTGGTGGCAAACTCCGCCGCCAATGATTTTGATGTCACGTCCCACACAGAAGTGGAATACTGTGTTAAATATTCAGGGGTTATTTGAGTCTTCCTGGTCTATGATAGTTTTAGTTGTATTAATGTACGGAGTTTCTGGGTGAGTCAAGTAACAAAGGCCCGCCTTCAAATCCACATGCAAACTATAATAACCACCTTCCACATGACATGTAGCACCAACTCAGATTCCTACTCAATATCCCCAATTATGATTCCTGAGTTTGTAACATTCATTTTAGATTGCATTTTTATCTTGTATAATTTCTCTTCTCCTTTAAGAGATTCCTGTTCACGACTGACTATCCAGTCATTTGCATATTATTTGCAGAGCAGAAAAACCTCTGGCAATGATTTTAGTCACTATCTTCCAATTATTCCAAAGGCAGTAATTGAAAGTTTCTCACCGCTGATTGCTTAAATTAAATCCTTTTGAATCATATTGTGTTTTGAGCGTAAACGGAAATTGTTATTTGACATTCACGGACGATGAGTTGACAAATGGCACTGAATCAACGTTTAAACAATGAATTTATAAGAGGGTTTATACACGCACACACACACACACACACACACACACACAGGTATTAGTCAGATGTCATGGTTTCAGGAGTAAACAAGCAGATAGTCTCTGGTATAAATCTTATATGCCAGTGCCTGGCAGCCATCTCAACATCTAATCTAAGGTCAATCTAATAAAAGGAAAAACTCACACTCGGTGCTGAGAACACCAAGCAAACTGTCTTTCTGCCTCATTTACTTTCAAGCTTAGTTGGGACTTCAGAGGAGATGCTGCATATTCATTTGTGCGTCATGCTTATTTTTGTTGTGCCCCGTGGATTGTCTGTTCCATTTCTTTTGGCATGTCTGGTATTCCTGCAACGTGTCAAAGGTCGCTGTAGCTCCGCTTTATTGTTTTGTTTTTTATTATTGAAATGTTGCAGTCCAGGTTTGTTTTACAGTAGAAAGAGAGCACTCTGAACACAGTTCATGCCAACACAGTTAAAACAAGGTCCCGGCAAGTTCTTTTTAGCACACACATTAAAAACAAGAGGCAAAAGGAATCCCAGCATACACATCTTGAAAGATGCGTAGAAGCAGTGGTGCATATCTGAGTGCTACGCCTCCACTTGGGTTTGCTGTCTGCAAAGGCTTATCTTGTCCCTGTTTTGACAGGGCTTAGGGACAGAAGAGGTGAGCCATACAGCGAGTGCCTGTCAAAACTTGTGTTGACGAGTACATTTAGCTACTATGCAGAGTCTCTATTCGCTCCCTCGCGCGGTGGCTCGGCTGAAAAGAAAAAGTTCCAGCCGTTGCTATTGTCCCTCCCGAGGCCTCGTTCCTGCCTACGGACGCTGGAGCAGTGCTACTTTGCAAGGTCACGCCTGCTTCCCCCCCCCCGATAAACAAAGATGGAGAGGAACAAAGCTCTCTGCTGCCCATCAGCAGTGATGCCCGCATCACCAATGACAACACAACTCAGCTGTCGACGCTGATAAAGGCCTACCAGCCCGCAGCATAAGGGGGGGGAAAAAAGTGAAAAAACATCCTCCACAAGCCCCGTGGAATCAGTCGAATGCTGCATCCTCTGTCACTCAAAATAAGAGGGAAGCAGGTACAATTAAAGCAGCCACACCGGTGCGTGGGATGGCTCCAAGGCCGGGACCGACCACAACACCTTTCAGGAGGTAATTACTGCGGGGAGGCTGATAGCGGCTCCATCAATTGATGGATTTCAACAGTTGCAGAGAAGCACTGCACAGCGGTGTTTGGCAGAGGTGCTGCTGGTGATGAGGCTTGCCGAGCGAGAGGCCCGACCTCAAGGCAACTCTAATAATGTTCTGTTCTGCCGACGACTAAGAGGCAAAAGGTCAGGCCACCTCAAGCCCGTTAAGTAAGTCGTAATGACAAGCTGTATTGCGCAGGTCAGCCATTTTGTTATCAGCCAACGACTGAAGTCAGGGAGGAGACGAGTCACAAGTCTCATCATCATCTTATGCTGCCTTGATTGGAATCTAATGAATCACGTGGATTGAAGGCTGCCTCGACACTCTTTAGGAGGCTCGTGCAGGACTAAGTGCTCAGATTGGGAACGTTTCTGTGATGCCAACAAGACCGTTCAGCAGCGCCATTAGTAGGTAATAAAAGAAAAGAAAGGTATAAATCCCACTTGGATCCATTAACATAAAATGTTTTGCCTTTCCTTTGATGCCGTCTAAGACTAAGTCAAATTGTAGTGCGTGTTAGGCAATATAATCTCATCCTGAATAATCTAGTACATACAATACGATTTCATCACTGTTGCAGATTGGATAAGAGATGCATTGCTCTCTAAGTGACAGAAGCATGCAGAAACTGTACCTCTGACTGGGGGTCAGGATGGGGACCCTCCACCCTCTGATTTGGCTCAGCTCCGTGTCCGATACCTCGATCTGGAGCGGCAGCCGAGGGATCCACACGTTGAGCTCCAGCTGAGCACTCAGGTGTCCGTAGGTGAAGTTCACCGTCATCTTCACCTTGCCCTTCATCTCCTTGCCATTCACAAACACATAGTCGCACCGGTCCGACACCTGCGTGAGAGGAGAGGGAAGGATTGTGGAGTTGAGTTCTTCTGACAGTTGGAGCAGATGACTACACGGGGAATTACACAGTGCAATATGCAGCAAAGGGCGCACTGTAGCGCGGACCCTCTGAGTTGATTATAAGGTTTACACTCCTCACTGATGCAGCATTCCTCCAACTACTTTGAACAAGATGAAAGGTCTTGTGCACCAGGGTGGGGGCAGCTCGGGCATCTTTGAACCTTGGGAAAAACAGGTCGTGGTCGGCTTTTGTTAATATATTTCCGCCTACAGCTAAAAGAGGAACAAACAGATGGAAACTAGTAAGACGAGAGCACTTGATAGAATAAACAAACTCCATCTGTTTCAGAAATCGCCTTGAACGGGCCAAATTTGTTGCTACAGAAAGACAAAACGCCCTTGTTACGTTGTGCCCCCCCCCCCTATCTCCCCTCCCAAAGCGTCCTGCATTACTTGCACGAGCATTTGAATAATGTCCAGAATCCTCTCTCAAACACACAAAGGCCCACGAGGATCTCAAGACACATATTCACAGAATACAGATACTTTTGTGGGCACTTTATTCATCCCATTGGTCCCATCATATAGGGAGCTACCACGGCTGGGACCTGAAGGAAATAGTTGGTTTAGGGAAATATTTTTGCTTTCTGTTTTCTCAAGTTATTTCTCCACAGGGAGATAAAACCTTACGCAGCCATTAATCATGAAGCCGCGGCTGTTTGTGTGAGTTTCCTCCACGTCACCTTTATAGGGACGCCAGCACAATACTTCCCGTGGTTGGGTTACTGTACATGAAAGCACATAGTCTAGCATAAAGCCGGCTTATGAAAACACTCCTGCTGATTCCCTTCAATGTAAATAAATGAAGATGATGCAAGTTTTTCAATTATTTGGATGGTAAAAACTCTTTCCTCTCCAATAAGCATACTGCTATGAACTTTATTATTTGATTTAGGAATTTAATCATTCTCCAAATTGTTTAATACAAAAAACCCACATATGTTCCTTTGGAAAGAATGATATTATATGTATATATAATTGGAAAACGATTCATCAGTCTCCACGGACTTTGCACTGTGTCCAGGTGCCTGTCACTTAAAATTTAAAGCAATTTAATTTAAATAAATAATTGCAAGCCCACAACTACATTTTTAGAATCGGTCAGACCTAAGAATTAAGTATTCAAGCATCAGATGGAAGAAGAGTAAAAAAAAGTTATCCTCACACTCAGGATGCCTAGTTTGGGGCTGAAAAAATGTATTTCGTTACGTTATCCAGCAGCCTTTTGACAGTATCCAACTGGTGTTGTAATGGAATGCTGTGGAAACATCAAACTATATGCAGTATCTCTGAAGTTTTGTTGTTTCCACAGACTGAATCTGAGGGCCAGTGTTGCTACAGGACAGCTTTTCATTTCCTGCCTTTCAACCAGCCCACGTAGTGTTAGTTATGTAGCATACCAACATCTGTGACCTTTATGGCATGGGATATTTGGGAGGATATGGGTTTTTCGCAGCGTTCAAGTCAAAGATGTAACTAAAAGTGCCTCCGTGGCTGCTGGGAGGATATGATTAACTATGTCTAGTGCCTGCCAACAAATTAAATGCACCTTTCAAATAACCAGTAAAAAATGTTAAGGTTATCACAGGATAATAATTCCTAATACCTAAAGGACATTGTCGGGGGAGAATTTGTTGAGCTGCATATTGTGAGTGTCTCATTTCTATAAGAAATATAATTTCTGTTTACCTTTCTGTTTTTTATTAACCATTTTATCATGGTACAAAAAGATTTTCCACCCAACAGCAAGCTCACAAAAGTAGTGCACTAAAGACAATAATCCCTAGAAACCCCAGTGAGAGAAGCTGAAAAGCACGCTGCATGGGCATCCTTTAAGGCTGCAGCCAACCATCAGAGGACTTGTGCTGAGGACCGAAGGATCAGTGGACGGCTGCGCTGTTATAACAGCCAATAAGTAGCACAGAGCACACAGTCGTAGTACTATACTCGTGCACTAATGCAGCGCGGCACTGCAAAGCAACGGGGACTGACAGAGTCGCTTAATGAGGCTTTGAAACATTTCTGCAAGCGCGGCTGCAGTCAATCACGGATCAGATCAGGCTGCGTCGCAGCTTCCAGTGTGAGAGTGCGTTTGATCTGATTAAGATGTCAGAGGAGTCGCTGCTCCTTATCAGGCCTCATTGTTCGTCTCTCTGTGTCTCGCTCTGTCTCTCTCCCTGGACTCAGTCGGCTGATACTGAAGTGCCCTTAACAGCCCGTTTTCGTCTCCAGCTTCTCAAGTTGGGGCTCTGCAAGCTCAGAATCAGCTCAGAATCTGCACAGCAGACAACACCTGACTGGGCTGAATGTCAGTCTCAATGACTACATCTGTTACAGTTGAATCAATGGATAATCAATTAAAATGAATAATATGTGAAATATGGGACCCGTCCATATTTTTCTTGCCATATTCAGAAAAAGCTGAAAGAAGTCATTTTGCCCTTATTTGTTTTAGGAAAATAATGTGTAATGATTGTGGGAATTACTAGCATAGATGTTTGCTCATGAATGTCTCATGACAGCAAATGAATCTCCTGCTGGCATTTCACAACAATCCAAGCAGACACACGTATGGCAAACATGGCAGCTTTCATCCAGCCATACTGACAAATCTGCACCTTGCTCCAAATCAATATCTTAACACGGATCCCCCCCCCCCCCGAATTAATCAGCGGCGTCTTGAACCCCTCCTGTGCCGCGGCGGGCCGAGGGCGGCACCGTCTCTTGCGAATTACAAACTCTCCGTCATCCTGATTCACAAAGTATCATGAACGTCCAGGAGGATCCAGCGCCACATTAATCAGACGCATCAGGCAGCTAACGGGAGAATACTTGCAGAGGACATTAAGGCCGTCTCTGGATCTGGCCCAGGAAATTAACAACTCGCCAGACGGATGCAATCCATGACAGATATGAGCGATGGGAGCAGGGAGCATGAAGGTGGGGTGAGTCCGGGGTCTGGTTTGTACACACAGTTGGCTTGACAGAAGTAATTAAGCTGCTCCTCCGGAGAGAAACTACGATGGGGAGGTGTGTATGTATTCCGAGAGCCCCGCTCTGTGGAAGCCTCGGTTATAAGAGCACGAGGAAGAAGAGTTCATGGTCGACAAGCAGACAGAAGATTTGCTCTGGAAATTCACTAACACACAACAAATAACGTAACCGTGGAACGTGTTTGTGCTGTTAGGTTTTAATAATCTATGTGTGTGTGTGTGTGTGTGTGTGTGTGTGTGTGTGAGACCAATTGAAGTACTTTTTTATGCAAAAGCCAACAAAGGAGCCATTGATAATAGCTGATCTTAGTAGTAGTATAATGTCATGTCCTAACTGTATAGTATTCATTGAAAAGTGGAACACCATTGTGTTGTCCCACTGAAACCACACAAACCCACAACCATGCGTGTTGCCTGGTTGACTTCATGGACTCTCCATGAAGTCAACCAGGCAACACGCATCGGCCCTGAAGTGAACTGACATAACTACAGATCCAGAAAGCACCAACATGCACAAATTCATTGCAATTCTAAGGGGAGTCGAAGCATCGTGTGTAGTTCACAGTGAGAGTGAACTAACTCCCAGGTTCAAAATGAGAACAAATGCTTCATGTTTGTGTACGTGTTCGCAGGCTGTGATTAGAACTTCCATGCGTGAGACCCGGTGAGAGAACGAATACTCCGACCAGGAGATGCCAGACGCAGAGCTCAAAAAAACCTCCCTGACAACAATTTCATTTCCCCCCCTGGAACTCACTCAGCCGTCCCTCACTCACGCTACAGAAATGATGGAGTGGAACTAAAATACCCTCCTCTGTTTTACTTTATGATTTTGATTCACTGTTGTCCTCGTGTTTGATTCTCTGCATCGTGTCCATTGTAATTTCAACAGAAGCAGCCCTGCGTGGCCGCGGCGGCGGGGCTGTTTCCACATGCCGAGCAACATCTCAGCCACTTGTAATTGGAGACCGGACACAGACAGATTTGATTCACTTCTCCGTTTTGGTTTGTGTCTTTCTACACGTTATTAAGAAGTCATTGGAATTCTGTTGGAGAGCAACGTCCTTTTTTTGGGGGGGGAGATCAAATGCACTGATAGCGCGGCTCAGCGCTGTGAGGGACTATTTCGCTCTGTTGTGCCTCGTGGCTCAGGTTTGAAAGTTGCTCTAAAAATAAAAAAGACAAAAAAAAACAGTTGAGTAACCCGTAAACAGTCGCTGTATATCAAACACAAACTTTCAAGTTGTTTGTTTATGCTTTCTGGAGGATTTATACAGACCTGCTAAACATAGAAAATCTTGTTATCTGCTGCATTTTTTAGTATTCAGTAAAAATGCAGCGTCTGTCAAACAATCCCTGCGTTGTGTCATTAAATACTCGATGTTGCCGTAAACTGTTTCCACAAACCGCGTTCGCAGGTGTTTCACGACGTTACGTTGTACGTACGTTTCAGAACCGAAGAAATATTTCTTATTGTTAAAATAATAAGGTAAATAAACTTATGTATCAAGCATAAGAATGCCACAACCAGGAAGCTTGCTTTCTCCTGCGCGTTGATATTTATATTATTTCTCAGGGTTCCTGTTTTGCTCAAATTTTGTTTATTTCTAAAAAGTTTATTTCTCCAGCACTTCGTCTTACTGACCTTCACCACATCTTCGTCTGTGGTGCGACACTTGACTGCTTCGGACACATCTGTGACAGATGTGTCCACCCCGATGGTCACCACTTTCACAGGGACGGCCACCGTCTTGCCAGTCAGCACGGCGGTGTTCAGAATCTCTGAATCCTACGGACAGAAAAATAGGCCCAGAGATCAGCACAGAAAAACAACAAAAAGAAGTAATTCTCACACGGCTCACTGTGAACCTTTGATCTCTTGGAAATCATTTCTTTACCGCTTTAAAAGTTCAAAACGTGCAGCGTTTTTTGTGTTTTCGAGTAGCTACCTTTTGGGTTTCTGAGCTGTCGCTGAAAATTGAAACAAACCAAAACTGTCTCTGGGTTCTATTGCCACTGTGATTGCAATTGTCAAGATGAATACAAAATAATGTCCCTCACTGCCGTGCTCTTTAGTTGATTTAATTGATTAAAAGTAATTAGCATAACATTGTGCTTGGCTGGTCACAAAGATTACTGATCGTGAGAACATTTCGATTTTACTTGATTATCAGCAGGAGGCAAATGAAACGCTTTAAGAATTAAATTCCACCCGAGGAAATTATTCACGCTCGATTACATCCAAAATGCTCAGTCGCCGGCAGTGAGGCAGTGACAGGACGCCGCGGCTCGCTTCCGTTGCAGCTTTCCTTCACGGTGTCACGGATCCACAGAAATTTAAAGGCGCTCTCTGCAATAACTGCGTTTGTCGCCATGACTTTCCTGATTGCCATGGAGACGTCTCAAACGCGGCCTGGTTCGGAATACGTGGTGAATGTTATTCCTACCTCGGGTCACACACACCTGACCTCTATTCTCATAGTGAAAACAGTTGGCCTGAAGCCTTCATGTCCCAGACCACAGGGGGGGCGGACAGACAGGAGAGGACACACCGTGGAATCAGGCTCATAAATGAATGATGAGCGTTAAATTATATTGATAGGGGGCTTTTCTGACAGCAATGCAAAGTGCAGGGAACACATAAAACACAAGTGACACTGGGAAACATATGGGAATAGAATGCAAGAACAATACTGCTCTAAAAAGTAAAGTTGAGATTTAAGGGTTTAAAGTGTTGAAGCTTGCTGGAAAACTGCGTATAGGAGATGATTTTGCAAACTGTTCTTTCAGCTTTGTTGTCCATTAGATCCCCTTATTCAAACATCTTAACCACAACAGACTGCATTAATACACTGTGCTCCTACGTAAATAATCATAATAATCTTCATATTTTTTATAAATCCTTTGCTATTCAGTCCTGTGTAAATGAGCATTTGCTGGCCGATCCGCAATAAGAGTGACAGATGCTGGAATTTAACCCGCGGGCCGTATTAGAGGTACCTCAGTGGTGTGGACGGCCTTGGTTCTTTAAGTTTGATGGCACGGCTTCATCACTGGGAACATACTGTAAGTCTTAACCCTTCATTACAAAAGCCGTCTTTCACACAGGACCATTGTCTACAGAAGATAATTGTCACCAATTTGTATGAGTTTGGGGGTAAAGTCACATTGGATTGGAGAAATGGCTCTTTGGTTAGACAGATTGATAATGAGCCCGGGTCGCTCAGTAAATAGCTGCCTTGGGGGTCAAGTGGGGAAATGAAATGACTTTCTTAAGCTGATTGTGCAGCGTGGCAAAGAGATGTTTTCATGCTGCTACTGAAATGGTCTCAAACAAAAGCTCAGGTCTGATTTCTTTCTTTCAAAGCTTTGACTTTCCAGAAGGTAATTCCGTGCTTTTCTGTTGAAGAAGAATCATTATTCTTTTAAAAAAATTAAATCTTACTCAGGAGTGATGCCTGTTGAATGAAATGTCTCATTTGTAATATCGATAAATCTGGCAAATGCAGACAGGACCAAACCACAGGGCTCGACTTCCAGTCAGCACATTGTTACCAGGGAAGATAACACGACTTAACTGTGTTTGCAAACACTCTCCCTTGTGTTTGTGAGCGAGAAAAGAGGGATTAGGTTTGGTTGAAAGGAGCCTGGTCGTTTGTAAGCATCAATTACTGAGACCAGTCAGCTTTGGAGTGGAATGACTATTAGTTGAGCCGAGAGATAGCTATGAATCTCAAAAGAAGCACTTCATCTTTAAAATGGCTTTTCATTACAATTTTATAGACTATGACAGTGTTATATAGCAACTCCCCCCCCCCCCTTCTGACTTTTATTCAATTCCCGTTAAAATCAAGTGTTGCTATAAATGACTTCTGTGTCTGCTGGGATTCCTCAATGATGCACGATGGGGTAAATGTCTGGACCTGGTGGAAGGAGGCTGGTGTTGTATTACAGCAGCAGGTCGGGCAGAGCTCGGCTCTCACACAGCGAGACAGCGATGGTCAAACACTCAGATAGGAGACGTGCAGTCGAGTATAAAAAAAGACATTCGCACAGCTGATTTTATAATATGGGTTAATACGAGTTACTTGCATTAGACGATAGATATCAAAATGGGGAAAATCTACAAAATACCTCTCAAACCTATTTATGCAGCTCCTTTATTTTTATGTTGCCCCTTTTTAATGAAATTAACGTGTATAAATGTGTATTTCTCAAGCGTGTGCCTCCAGAAGGAAGGTGGGATTAAATTACCTGGTCTTTTTTTTGTCCAGTATACATTTATTCCAAGAGCAAAAAGGATTAAAAAGTAATCCATTTCAACGTCAGGTATTCAGTATTCAGATGAGGTTCAGCATGAAGTTGAACATTCAAACGGCCATAATGTTGTCATGTCTTTAGTTTCCAAATTATCAAACTATAACAGTCAACACAAAGTTAGTTTTGGGACACCCAAGATTTCTAGGTGCTTTTTTGTCTGAGTCATCTGTGTCGTAGCTCCTATGGCCTCACGCTGGTGTTTTCAGTTTATTCCTTGTGGTTGGGTCTGATGGATAAAAATGGGTCTTAATTGAATGATTTAATTATTCCTGCTGCCTCCTCATCCTTTCCTGCACCTGAGCCCAAACCTGTATCGGATGCGAGGGTGAAAAGAAGAGTTGGGCTGTCATTTACTTATGTCCCCTCACTCTGATTCCTCATTGACAACACATACAGTAACAGTTGTTCTTACGAGCCAATCTATCCCCTTAAGATTGTATTGTATAATCTGTGGGGCGAACTGCCCTTCTGCCTTATCAAGGATCTCTCTCTCTCTGTTAGCATTCAGCACGCCGCTGTGGCTGGTAATGTGTTCTGGGCCGTAATTTCTGCTTGTGTGTCTCGGTTGGATCTAAAAATAAGTGAGATTTATGGTGTCAGCCTGAGTGACACGGGTAGCATGAGAAGTAGCAAAGCTGGTGCCCGTCCTGCTTTGCCATTGGCCTCTGCTTCTAACCCGCGCTAACACATCCGCGCGCTGGCCTCGCCGCCCATGAACAGGCCAGGCACAGCGTAGAGTCGGAGACCTGCATTATTCATGGCATGTTGTGGCTCACCAGATGAACCCAAAATCACAAGTCGTAAAATCCCCAACTATACCCAATGCGTCTAATTTGATGCTTCTCCCCCCGCATTCAGTTTGTGATCTGTGTGATCCTTCATGTGATTTATTGAGCATTGAAAGGAAGTGTGCCACTCGTCAACTACTCTAAATTACATTTTCACAGATAAACACTTCCATCCCTTGGCAACAAGGCAAGCGTACACGCAGGGAAACTAAACTGGGAGTAGGGGCATAGAGAAGGATATCCTGTAGACACTGAACGCCAGTCAGACAATGTCCTGCAGCTATTAAGCAGAATAAAAGAAGCATGTCCTTTCATCGGCTCCTCTCTCCACATTGTGCAATGCTCAACGTGCCACTTCCTCCCTTCCTTCCTTTCCAGTGGGCGTTTAATTGGCTAGAAACGAGAAACATGGAGGAGAGTGGGAATAAAGGCCTTGGTAGCACCATGCAGAGCGATACATCACTGCATGACAGCGCATTGAAGTGGTGGGATGGTTGTGAAGCCAACACGCTGCCTTTTAATGAGGGTCTCTCTCTTGCGCCCTTCTTCTTCCTTCAGACTCTTTGTTCTTCCAACAATGAGCCACTTCCTCTCCTTCTCCCCCGATTTTACTCTCCTCTTCTTCCCGGCTCACTGATGAAGGCGGCTGCATTACGCGGCGCGCAAAGAGCCCATATGCAACGTGACTGGCAGGGCACGGTCTCGGGCACGTGCCCGTCAGCGATATGGTGGGCTCGTTACTGCCGGCAGGCGCTGGCAGGGAGAAGAATAACTCGATTGGTGCTTTGATAGTGGATTTGCTCCTCAAAGTGTCAGTTTGTGAGGAGGGGTAATGGAGATTATGGAGGGATCATTGGGTCCGGATAAATGGCCGCCTCGGCATGGGGCAGCTTCTGTAGGTCCCTAATTCTGAGGGAAGCCGAATATTGTTCATTTGCACAAAGACTCCACTTTGGTAACGATTTTTCACAGATTTTGTATGTATGTATGTATGTATCAAGTCTCCAGAAAACAACAACTGAATGTTCCAAAAGCTCAATGTTTAAGTTTAAGGGGACTCACGTCTCCCACAGCATCCTTGTTGCTTCCCACATTCTCAGACGACTCTTAAGGAGCAAACCCCTTTCTTCAACAACTTAACTTAGTGTAAGTCTATCCGACTGAAATAAAATAATAAAGCCTTCAGGCTTGTGAACGTCTGATCCCTTTTGATGACCAGGCCACTGTGATAATGAAACAGAACGGTAGGAAAGAGGACACCTAAAGACAAAGTAGTCTGCACTGAAAAAGAGCATCTTAGTGGTGTAATGATTTATGTTGTGTTGTTGCCCTGACCCACTTCAAAAGAACCGCTGAGGTTCGAGGAAATCCCTCCGCTTCATGGTTCAGCCTTCTCAGATTTGCGAGAAGATTCACTCAGCGGTTCACGGTATTGATGTTTCAGTCACACAGAAATGCTCTTAACTGTAAATTATTCATGAGTGCACATGATTTACGGATACACTTCGGTTGTGAGCAACTGTCACAATGACAACACGCCTGCAGGACGAATCCCCCCCCCACCCAAAATAATAATTGTACTTTCCTACAACGCAACGAGTCCGCCCAAGAATCCTCCTCGGATATATTTTCAAAAGAAACCCAGCAGGGACCGGACACATCCCCTGGAGGTCCGTGGCCA